GGTTCATTGGTACACCATTTATGCAGAAAAAATGATCGTGAACCCAATAAAGAAATTAATTCGTCTCTAAGCTTTATGGTCTCTTCAATTGTGTCAGAACCCGATAAGATATCATCTACGTATGTATTATTTAAAAGAGCTTTTGCTGCGAGAGGGAATTTTTTACCTTCTGAGTGAGCCAGCTCAGCCAAACACCTCGTTGCTAAAAAAGACGAGCTTTTCAAGCCATAGGTGACTGTCTGTAATTGAATATACTGTAAGGAACCGAGATGATCTCTCCACAGAATGTTTTGCAATGGCCGGTGTTCCGGGTGAATTAAAACCATGCGGTACATTTGTTTTATGTCAGTTAAAATTACGAATTTATAAGTTCTGAAGCAAACAAGAATATCGAATAAGTCTTTCTGGACTACTGTCCCATTGTACAAGAAGTCATTTATACATTTCTTTTGTTTCGATTTCATGCTGCCATCAAAGACAACTCTGAGTTTGGTGGTTTTTTTGTCTTCCCTTATAACGGGGTGATGCGCCATGAAATAAATCGAACCATTAGTTAACTCCTCTACAGGGTAATTGACAATTTTGGCATGATTTAAATTCAAATAATCATCCATGAAACTCTTATATTGTGAGAAAAGATCAGGATTAACTCTAAATCTTTTTTCCAGGTTTTCAAAGCGCTTTATAGCCACTGAAAATGAATCCCCCAAATTTATGTCAGTTTGTTTTAGTGGCAATTTCACCTGATATTGGTTATTTATTATTTCAAGAGAATTTTGAAAACAAGACTCGCAAGCTTCTTGCTCGCTGGGATATTCTGGAAATATCTCAGGGACTTTCTCAGTTTCCCAAAATTGAGACATGGTTTTTTCAAGATCTGAATAGGTCGCGTGAAACGCAAAAAAATTGCATGTGACATTTGCACAAGCAGAAATTGCACCGCTTACAATATAACCGAATAGGGTGTTTTGAAAATATATATTGTTGCATTTAAGCTTCTCCGAGAGAAAAATTTCAAACGCCACATTTGCACCCAATAAAAAATCAATCGGTCCCGAGCGGTAAAAACTGTCATCAGACAAATGAATATTCCGAGGCGTTTCAAACTCTGAAATATCAAAACTTACATTAGGCAAATTGCTTGTAATAGTGTCAACAAGCGCACACTTTATGTTTTTTGAATAATCAAAAACCAAAGATTCAATATTTAAATTTATTGATTTATTAATTTTAGTTTTAGTCTCCGATATGCCAGTGATATTCAAAGAACTATTAAAGGCTTTTAATCCTAGCTTTTCAACTAAACTGTTTGTTACTAAACAAATCTGAGAGCCGGTGTCAACCAGACCTCGGGCGTAAATATATTTGCCTTTATTAGATTTAATTTTTACTTTTAAGGTAGGTAAAAGTACAGATTCTTGCTGTGAGGCATTGGAATACATGACTCTGCGTTCAGTAGGAAAATTATTATTTTCACATTGCTTGTCCAAATGCAGCAGGGTATTGTGTTACTTTTGACACATACCACACCGAAACAACATTTTACACTTTCCAGAATGAATATTCAAACATAATTTACAAAAATTCTGTCTGTCGACAAAAGATATACGATCCTTTACTAGTATGGATTTGAACTTTTTACAATTATACAGTTTATGTCCAGATATTGAACAAAAGGGACATTTTACATTGGTTTGTTTTGTTAATAAACCGTAAACCTTTTCTTTAGTTTTATGCTCTGGGGTACTACTAGTTGCCTCTAAGGCTGTAGCTCTATTTTCTAAATAGGCCAAGAATTCATCCAAAGTCGGCAATTTGGAACTATCACGATCTATTTGATAGGCTCTGTTGGTAAATTGGTCAACTTTTCTACTTAAAATACAAATCATCACCATGTCCCAGTTGTCAACAGGCTGGGCTAGGTTTTTGAGAGCTCCAATTTGCTGCTTGATGCGACTTACAAAATCTCTAAGTGCATGAGCTGTACCTTTTTGTATGGCAGGAATATCCAAAATAGAAAAAATATGTGAATTTATGATCATAGTTTCATTATTAAATCTGTTATTTAAAATATCTATGGCACCTTGATATGAAGAATTTATTAGTGGCAGATTATCAATTAAGCTTAAAGCCTCACCCTTCAAATAATTTCTCAAATAAAAGAGCTTTTCAACATCTTTTAACTGTTGATTTTTATCGATGACAGCATTAAATATATCGATAAAAGATTTGAAATTGGTTAAATTTTTTCCATCAAAGGTAGGTATCTCGATTGGGGGCAATTTAGCAGCAGAAATAAAATTATTACTTTGAGTAGGTGGAATTGAAACCGATTGAGCAATATTAGTTGCTAAATTACTAGTATTAGCTGGTCCTGGTAAATTAGATTTAGGTAAACAATTTTTAATACTTACAATGACATCATAAAAAAGAGTTTCTACATCATCAATTGAATCATCATAGTTACCATCAAGGCATAGAATTTCAACTTGAATGTCTTTAAGCTTTTGAAAACTGTCCTGCAATATTTCCTTCCGAACTAAAAATTGGTCGGTTTTATACTCACTGTCAGGATCAGATTTGTGATCGGAAATATAACGACTTATTCTAACCATGGAGTCGATTGCTTGCTTTTTCTTTGACAATAATTTATCAATTTGCTTTTTGGTAGTCATATTTACAAAGTTTACAATCAAAAAAATAAGAAAATATCAAAAGAAATCTATAAACAAAATTTAAAATTACCTAATAAATTAGATTTTTTTTTTTTTTTTTTTTTTAAAAAAAACCACTTAATAAAACGAAAAACGGATAATTGTTCATCCTTTAAATAAATAATGAAAAAATAGCAATAATTAATGCGAAAAATTCAGTTTTTCAAAAATAATGCAAATTCACTCAAATTCACTGCAAAAATCCAAAATACACAAACAACAAACAACAAAACGTAAACAAATGTTTGACATTTAATTTGAGGTTAAGCTGTCGGGGTGGTGAACTCTCACTTTCATGTTCGTTGCTCCGGGGCTGTACTTCATTGCACCAAGCAAGGATACTGCACCCGGGGTGACTTGGGTTGAACCAAACGAGAAAAAGAAGCACCCTTTTGAATTTGACAAGTGAAGTTTGTTTGCTCCGCCCCACTCTACTTACGCACTTCCGGTTCCGGCGGAAACCTTCGCTGGTGGCACGTGGAACCCAACGTTGTTTGAGACACGTGCAGACTGCACAGTGGATGATTGATTTTTTGCATCACATGGCGCCAAAAATCACGATGGAACAATCAATAACCACTAAAAAGGCACTTTTTGAGGGTTTTTAAAGCACTTTTAGGTTCCGAACTATCCAGTATCCGGCTCGAACTGGCCAAAATTATGTGCAAAACCACATAATGGAAGATAAATAACTTGATAATTAGTGGACTGTATAATTAGGTGGACTGGATGATCGACTGGATAGGGAACTAAAACACACGCGCTTTTCACTGACACTATATTTACAACAATTTACACAATATTTACACTATTTACAATTACTACTACAAGATGACAAGAAGCCAGAGCTTGCTTAGATGCCCAACAGGGCAGAGCTAGATTATAAAATGTATTAAAATGTGAAAAGGTTTCTGGATGCTTGTTAACGTGGACAAGCTCCAAGCTACACTGCTGCAATGACAAAAATGGCGCGCAATATATTGACAGACATGACAAAATAGACATGACGACAACGCTGCAGTATTGCAAACTTTATATGTATAAAAATATTTTGCCATCAAAAAGAGATAGCATGATTGTTGGAACATGTTTCCAACAGTGCGTGAAATCTATTTTCACGTCTTTTGAACAGTGCGTTAAGTAAGTACTTTACGCGCACTAGTAGAAAAAAAAAATATTTGTTAGCTAAAACCAAAGGCAAATGTTATTATGTCAATCGAGCCAAAAAATAAAGTTTTCACATCCTACATAAGTTTATTTGTTTTGAATTCTTAAGTTATTTTCGACTATATGTATCCCCCTACTCCCAACTACTCAACCTATGACCAACTCAAAAACTGTTTCAAAATCAGAAAAAAAAGCGCATATTTTTAAACTTTTTTTGCTAAGAAGTACCTACGGTCAAAGTTTACAGCTGCGGTTCAGAGAAAATTGAAGAAAACCAATTCAATTTATTTTCCTATTTTTTTTTTTTGACAAAAATACTACCTGTCAAAATGGTTTTATAATTTCATCTCATTCTTTAGTCCAAAACAAAGGTATTTTTTTTTACTTGACGAAAATCGATTAATAAATAAGAAAGTTACGATTTTTTTCAAGAATGGCACCAGGCGCCATCTTCAATTCATCATGGCGGAAAAAGCAAGCCTCCTAGGAGGTGTAACTTTTTTTTACAGAGTACTATTGATGGGTACTATCATCTGTGAAAAAATCAGCTTGATTGCAAAAACTTCTCCTAAAGGCCATTTTTTCAGCTAACTGCCGTGACCTATGTTAGTGAAGTCCCTTGAACACCTTTTAACAAAGCCCAGCAGTTTCAGAGACCTGGTAGCGATATCCGAAATGTAGCTGGAGAAGCTTACGTGCTATCAAAAATGACACCCAGATCACCTTGTTGGGGCACTGTTGCAAGTGGTTCATTGCTTATGTGGTATACAAATTGTATGACTTTTGGCGAAAACGATAGCTCTACATTTAGAGGCATTGAGTTTCAACACCATTCGGAAAGTCTATCTAAATCAGATTGTAGTCTGACTATCTAACGCAGTCTTCGTGGGAGGAGACTAACTAGGACGAATATCTTTAAGTTATCGACAAAACACAGAAACTCACGTTTAATGAAACAAAAACTAATATCGTTGATGAAAATATTGAATAGCAGGGATCCCAGGTGAGATCCTTGTGGTACACCTGAAGAGATGTTAATGGGCTGTGAGCAGAAGTTGATGATCTTGACTGTTACGCGGTTTCTGATATAATAATCGTATATGAAATAAAACAATTCATTTATTATAATCACAATAGCTATTTAATTACATTAACCATCCTCCAAAAAAAACTCCCAGTGTCCTCCAACAATTTCCTCGGATTATCAAACTCGACAACTTCCCCATTCTCCATCACCATCACCTTATCGAAATCCAATATCGAATCCAACCGGTGAGCCACCATTATCAAAGTACATTGAGAAAAGTTTAGTTTTATTAAATCATGCAATAATCGATCAGTTTCGGTGTCCAAATTGGCTGTAGGCTCATCCATTACTACAACGCTGTTGTTTTTCAATAGGGCTCTAGCGAAGCAAATTAGCTGCTTTTGACCAGTGCTTAATGATAAGTTGAGGATGTTTTCATCTAAACTGGGCACCCAAGCTTCTAATTTAACGTTTTTTAGGCTCCGCCAAATGTCTTTGTCCAGGCAAGTACCATATGGGTCAATGTTTTCACGTATTGTACCTAAAAAATATTATTGAATTGTTTACAAGGTTATTGGGTACTTGCCTTGAAAAATCGTAGGATCTTGTGGAATAATAGCAATATTGCTCCTCAAAAATTGCAAGGACAGTTTTGAAATGTCCACCCCATCGATGACAATATTGCCTTGGTACTCGTAAAGCCTAAATAGTGTAGTTATAATTGAGGACTTGCCTGCACCAGTTCGCCCAACAATACCCACTTTTTGGCCAGGTTTTATTAAGAAACTGACATTTTTTAATACTCTGCTTTGGAAATTGTATATCAAATTGACATTGCGGTACTCAATTTGGCCGTACTTAGGCCAGTTGGATAGGTTTTCACCCAAAATGGCGTTTTCTTGAGGGATTTTCGTGTACTCGACTACTCTTTCCACTGACGTCATGCATTGCTCTATCGAGGCCCATGTTCTGACGATCCATTGGAGATAGCTGGACATGGTAAAGACTTGAGTTAGGGCTAGGCCTACGTTACCAACTGAGGTATCTACAAAAATTTAAAGATCTAGTGCATAAAGGAAAAATGATAAAACGATGTAAGATTTGATGAAAAAATAATTTCCATATACCTAGTAGAAGTAATGTGTTAAATTTCCAAAATAGCTGCCTAGTAATTTCAGATACTCAAAAGATTCATAGACGCACTCTCACAATGAGAAATATAAGGAGAATAAACTTGAACTTTTATAAAGTGCCGCCGAGGCAAGGGAGTACCTATTTACATAAATTTCATTGGTCATTTTCATGCTCTAAACCCAAGAACTGTTCATGTGGTTGTTGGATTTATTTGAAATTCTAGTATAATGGGCTTTTCTAATCTTCCTCTTTCTATAGTAGAAGTTTCAAAATGTACTCCTCAACAGTTCATGTGATTGTGGGATTATGTAGTTCTGGTTCCCTAGAAAGATGGTGGAACCAGGCTGACCGTTGATTACCACCGGCATAATGCTAAGACGACGTCAAATAGTTATCCGTTGCCGCAGATTGACGACATTCTCCATACGGCAAAGAAGACACTTTACATGACAACACTAGATCTTAAGTCTGGTTATCATCAGATGTCAGTTAGACCCTGTGATCGAGACAAGACTGCATTTATCTGCCTGTTTGGAACGTTCCGGTATACAAGAATGCCTTTTGGACTGCGTAATGCACCATCTACCTTCCAGAGGCTAATTGACAGATTTCGTTCAAAATATTAATCTGTTAGCATATCTTGATGATATAATAATCTTGTCTGATTCCTTTGAATCCCTGATCATCTACAACAAGTGTTTGAGCACTTGAGATTACAGTACAGTATTTAGGCCATGTGATAGGACCGCAAGGAATTGCACCAAATTCCAGTGCCACGAAACGTTAAGGAATTTCTTCATTTTTACAAACCTGCTCATGGTAAAGATGATTCATTGAAAATTTTGCAAATATCTCTAAACCGTTAACAATGCCAACAAAGAAGAAAGCTACTTGGCCACTTAGCCATACCTAGTCAAAATCAAGCATGCATTTGAAAAGTTAAAGTCAGCCCTATATTCTGAAGACTGACACTTCTACCTATGCTCTAGGAGCAAGGAGCATGTCTACTTCAGGGGAAGGACATACACGAACGATCCATTGAATACGCAAGTCGGCTTCTTACACCTGCTGAACAATATGACCACAGAAAGCTGTTGTATGGGCCGTTACCAATAAATTTCGTGGTTACCTAGAATGTGCATCAAATGACAAAAGTGATCATCAACCATTGCAATGGCTGATGACATTGAAATCGTCAATCTTTCGATCTTCAGATTAACTATATACCAGGCCGGACTAATATCATTGCGGATATGCCATCATGACCACCAAACCAAGAAATAAAAGCAAACTTGGTAACCGTGGTTTTGCCACGAGAAAATGGTGCTGAAATTCGCTGTGAATAGTTGAATGACCCAGATATTAACAAGGTAATACAGACTTTTGAGAATATGAACAAAGATAACTTCGACTTTAGAAAATGGACCAAACGAGGGTACATCATGCATAACGGTGTACTAGTATTTAGGTACGTACCTACCTGAGTTGGACGAAGAAGAAACACAAGTTGTACTCAAATCACAGATTACCGAGATATTAGTGAAATACCATGACTCACTATTAAGTGGTAATTATGGAATAGAGCGTACTCACCAAAGAATAGCCAGTTGCTATTTATGGCCATGCGCAGAAATATAGCCGACTATGTCAACAAGTGTGTTGAATGCCAAAGATACAAAATTCCAAATCTAAAGCCAGCAAGACAACTTCAAACTCCTGTTAAGTCACAACGTTTTGAAACAATATCAACTGATCTATTGGGACTTCCACCTGAGTCTAAAGATAATTAAAGGTGGATATTTATCATAGAAGATACATCAAGCCGATGGGTGCAGATATTCCACAGATAGCATCTTCAGAAAATTGTGGTCGTTGCTTAGTAGATGAAATAATGTTGCGCTATGGCGTACCTCAAAGAGTTATAAGTGAAAGTTCGTTAGCTCAGTAATCAGACACTAACTAAAGCCTTTTATCCTGAAGCAAACCCGGTTGAGAGAAAAATAGAGACTTGAGAACCCAACTTTCTATCCTAGTGCAAGATGACCATACACAATGGAAAGATAAGCTACCAGCCATTAGGTTTTCAATGAAAACCAGCCGATCACAAGCCACAGATTTCAGTGCCGCCTATCCCACTTTCGGGAGAGAATTAAGACCTTCGTGCCATTGTAGAAAACGACAACTTTGTGAGTCAAATAACTCTGTTAACGCAACATTATTTATTAATTTGGTTTCTTCTCATTCTTATTCAGGAATTACCTACTTAAATGTCAATTTCGCGTAAAACACAAAGGAGTGTATTTTCTACGACCCTGCGCCGAACGAGGCAAACAGCCGTTGAAGATTTGAATTTACACACACAGATAAATGGTGCTTCATATGCACGTTGCAATTTTTTCCGGTTCCATGTTTTAAGTTCGAAAAGTCTATGTCTTGTGCCGTTAAAAAGGGACCTTGAGTGCCTTAAGTCGATGCTGATACGTTGGTGGTTGTGGAGAACCGTTTTCCAAGGGATCCCTGTATAAACACACAGCTTATAAGAAAACCCAGGTGAGTGGAAATATCTTTTGTGTGTTTCGACAATCCTATAGTATCATTTTCATTTCTATTTCTATTTCTATTTGTTTGCGCGATTTTCCAGTCGCAGTCCAGTTTACTAAATTTCAAATACTATTGCGTAAACAAACTCCGTACTTGCAATGCCTCAGTGAGACACTCCGAGAAGCCCGTGACCACCACGAGATCCAGCAAGATCGAGCAAAATACTATGCAGATAAATGCTTTCGTGATCCTCCCAAATACTCGTGTGGAGATAAAGTACTGGTCAACTCACATGTCCTAAGTAAGGTCAAAGACTCGTACACTTCAAAATTTGCACCAAAGCGAGATGATTTTTATGTAGTATACAAAATCGTATCGCCTATCTCTTATGAAATCTCCCCAGGGTCCGCATACTATATTATTAGGAAAGTACCATACTTTCTTTAGAAATACTTTGCCATTTGTGACAAATGATGCCTTATAATAATTGTTCTCCTTCCTATACTCCCTTGCTTTCTTGTAAATTAGCTGGTTTAAACGTTAAACGTGTCAGATCTTCATTGAAGAATATGTTCTTATTTCTTCCAAGTAACTTATTTACTTTGAGGAGCTAGAGCTTTGACGCCGTTTAGGTCTTGTCAGAATGAGGACCCAAATCCAGTTAAACCTCTTCGAAAGCGTGGAAGACCCCGAGGTACAACTTCAGTTGCAGATAATGCAGGTGAAGTTTCAAATAAGAAGTTATCATCCACTACTATAGAACATGCTATAGATGAAGATGATGGTGACCCTAGTTATATCTGCTAACCCTGTTGACATCAATAGAAGATTTTGTGTCGAACATGTCGTGAACCGTCTTGATTTTCGTATTTAAGGTTGTATCGGGGGGCCAGAAATGTTCCCGTTTTGGTATAAAAAGTTAGGTCCTCTAAACCAGCGATCATGTTCTAATAAAGTCGGTGAATAGCTTCATTTAGTGGCTTCATCTGCTACGTTTAGTTTCGTTGGAGTATACCTCCAATTAGCTATCATGGAGTATTTCGGCAACTCTATATGCGACGTATTTAGGAAACTGTCTTGGGTTTTCATTTCTTAACCAACTTAAAACTGTTGTAGAATCAGACCAGTTATATGTTTTATTTATGTTAACTGAGAGAGATACAGGGTGTCCCCGTTCAACTGGTCAATAATACTAGGGTATATAGAGGAACCATAGAAAAATAGTTTCAGATAGGAAATCGATGGTTGGAAGTGCGCCGTTTTGAGTTTTGAAATTTTACAAAAAAAATCGAATTTCTCCCTCTGTATTAAAAACGCTTTCAGCGATTTTAATGAAATTTTCAAGATTTAAATGATAGGTGGTGATCGGACTTGCAGTACATGTGTGTTAAATTTTTTGAAAAAAAAAAAAAAAATGGATTGTCTTTTTCAAACGTCCGTCCTTGGACAAATCAAACCAACTGCAATTCCTTAAAAAGTTGTATCACCACCTATCATTTAAAACCTGAAAATGTCATTAAAATCCCTAAAAGCGTTAACACAGAGGGAAAAATTCAATTTATTTGTAAAGTTTCAACATTCTGTATTTTGGAAACGACGCACTTCCGACCATCGGTGTCCCATCTCAAACTACTTCTCTATGGTTCCTCTATACATATACCCTAGCATTTTTGACCAGTTGAACAGGGACACACTGTATGTTCACTAAGATTTCTAGCAAGTTTTGCGCCCATTATAGCGGTGTTAAGTTCAAGTTGTGGAATTGTTTGGATTTTGAGTGGTGCGATGTGCGTTTTAGCAGCAACGATACAGCATTTTATAATGTGTTCTTGTTTCATAGGTAATTTCTTGATCCTATATATGAAATGTCACTTCGTCAAATTTCTTGGAGAAGAATTTTGACGTAGACTAGGAAGTTTGCAATTAGTTCTAGTGGATCATAAATTGACATATGTAAGTATACGTAGAATTTCCCTTTTTGTAGGTTTTGGTTTTCCATCTGAAACATCCCTATTTCCTTTATTTAAACGCAAGGTGTATATAAAAGTATTTGATTCTGAATCCCACCACATGCCCAAAACTTTTTCTGTATGCTCTTCACTTTCAACGTCTAATCAAGGTTACTTGTTTAGAAATTTCTATAGCTTCTTCTTCAGTATCTGCAGAGTCAAGAAGACCATCTACGTAATGGTTGTCTAAGATACAACTCAACAACCCTCGGATATTTTTTACTGTATTTCTTAGCATTGAAATTTTTAACAAATTGGACGCAGCTTGAAGAACATGTCGCTCCAAATGTCATAACAGTCATAACATATAGGTATCGATAGAATTTTCAGGATTACCGCCTCACCAAAAAAAACGTGCGTATTGATTTCTTGATTTTATGCCGACCTTCAGGAACCTTTCTCCAGGGCCGTATCTAGACCAACATTTTGGGGGGGGGGTTAGACAAAGTGGCAAAAAAAAATTGTTACAGTAATAAAAATAAAAAAAATAAATAAGTATTTAATTAGTGTTGTTTGTTTTTAAGTTACATTTTTTGAATTTTATTATTTTGGGGGGGGGGGGGGGGGGGTTTGAACGCCCAAACTCCCCCCCCCCCCCTAGATACGGCCCTGTTTCTTTTATATCTGCTGAGAATCCATTTTTTTTTTCCTTTAAACAAAGAAGTACACTAAACAGAGATGCCAGTTGGTCATCGCCTTCAAGAAGCATTAAATTTGAAGACATACACTGCTGCATCCCATATACGATTCGAAATTTTCCGAGCCTATTTGGATTGGTCATAGAAAATATAGGCAGATACCAGATCTTCGCACGAGGCTGAGAAAGTCAATTTTCTTATGTCCTTTTTCTGGACCAAATCTTCTAGCTGTTCATTCAATTTGATGCCTAGTTCTGGATTGCCTTCTATTTTTCTCTCAATGCACTTTAATCTTCTAATCGCCATCTCTTTACTATTGAAGGTGTCATATTTCCATAACAATCTAATTTTATACTGATGCCCTTCTTGAAACAACGAGTTCTCTTGAACAAATCTTGCTCTTACTACCTCTGACGTTGGAATATTTTGGACTCCAAGGCTTTCGATTGAATAATATTCTTTTACTGCATCGAAAAGTTGTTACTACTTATTTCTCCGATATTGATATAGTTTTTGTGTAAATTATAAGAGCTTGGAGACAAGGCGAATACAGTCCATTCGAGACTACATTTGGCTGCTATGCGGGATGTCCTAAAATGTTTGGGGATTCTTAAACTTTCAGTGGTAGCTAGTGCTAAGTCCCAGTTATCCAAGCCGATTAAAATTTCTTGATTCGCTTCTTTGTACGAAGAAAGTGGTATTCTTTTTAGGTATGGGAAATCTTTTTTTATTTCAGCTGCTTTTAAAGTTTCTGTGGCGACCCCAAAAATTTCGAGGTGCTAAAATCCCAGAAAATATAACTAACTCAATTGGTAGAAGCATTTTTGTAGTCATTTCAATTAGAAAAGTACCTACGTCAGTTGCAAGATAATTTAATGTAAACTTATTAAATCTCCCAGCAATCCAGCATCTAATTCCGTATAAAAATAGTATAAGTAAAAAATGATGAAATTTCTAAGCTCAACTCAAATTACATAATAATTTTTTTTATTCTAGTTGAATGAAGACGTCCGGTTTTTTGTGTTCACACTAACGCGAGTCTACCGTATCTCATAGCGATTTTTGACTGTATGCAAATTTATAAGGATAGGCATTAGATCGATTAAAGTGAAGCCTCTGGAATATCAAAAAAAGAGCTGCTTACCAGTGTCAACAAACAAAAACGTCAAAATGACCAACGATATAAAAATCGAACAGTCCAAATCTAAAGCATATCCAAAAGCCCGTTCCGTAAGCATTTCCATATAAGCCACAGATATAGCTAAATCTTGATGCTTGTCAAATTCATTTTTTAACAAGCTTTCTTGTTTAAAAGCACGAATGGTCGACAAACCATCTACTGTGGCGTTCAAGTGACCAATAAATGGACTTCTTGCTAAAAGAAAAGACAATAATGTAAACATTTTTCTATAATATACAGTTTGTACTTATTGCTCCAAGCCTCTTTAGAGCTCTGGCTGCTGGAATGTAAAACGCCCTCAATACAACCAGCGTAACGAAAAACAGCAACATTATAATCAAAAATATCCAATCGACAGTTAAGATTAGTATCAACGTACCGCCGATACCAAAAAAGGCCTAAAATTAAAGCAAATTAAACTTGAACATCAAATGTTTAGTCTTACAATGATAAGATCCCTAAACAAAAACGGAAAGACTTCGTCTATGTGATCCAGATCATAAGAAAACCTGCAACAAACTTGAATTAATATGTAACAAAATTTACTCATCTAATCACCTGTTTAGTATGTTTCCAACAAAATGATTGTCCATAAAAGTCATGACGCAATTAATGACGCTTTGGCTCATCAGCTTATGGAATCTAATTGAGGCCTTACGGCAATAAGCCAAAAACCAATAAGATTGCACCAAATCAATAACCGTAGAAAAAACAATCATTATAATATACATGTCGAAGGTATTATCTCTTTGATAACTAATTTCTTCGTTTGTTGTAATAGTAGTATTTTGTTGGTAATCTACCCTGTAAATTAATTATGTATTTTGAGGCAGTTAATTAGGCTGTTCCAAGGGGCAAGCCACCTAAGAATTATTTGCCAAAAATTTGAGAAATTCAGAGAAATTTGTGGAGGATTTAAAGAACTCATCGGAATTTATGAGAATTTGGGGAATTTATAGGGAATTTGAAGGAATTTATGAGGAATTTGGGAGAATTTGTGAGGAATTTATGAAGAACTTGGAGGTAATTGTCAAATTTAAAAAATTCAAAAGAATAATGAATACAGATTTTGTAAATGATCTTCTCATCTTCCTCTCTACATGTAAAAAGTTTCAAAATTTTCCTTTCACTAGTGTTCCAGGAAAACTTTGAAATATGTGAGACTGTATTTTCAATTAATTCAGTTATTGTAAGTTGATTTCCAATATTCCTTATGCTGTTACTTTCCACTGGAAAAATTTGAAATTTTGTGAAAATGAGCTTCTCACCTTCCTCTTTACATGCAAAAAGTTTCAAAATTTTTCCTTCTCTAGTTTTTCAGGAAAACTTTGAAATATGTGAGACTGTATTTTCAATTAATTCAATTATTGTAGGTTGATTTCCAAGATTCCTCATGTTGTAAATTTTTACTGGAGAAATTTGAAATTCTGGGAAAATGAGCTTCTCACCTTCCTCTTCACATGCAAAAAGTTTCAAAATTTTCCCTTCACTAGGAAAACTTTGAAATGTGTGAGACTGTATTTTCAATTAATTCAGTTTTTGTAGGTTGATTTCCAAGATTTTTCATGTTGTTATTTTCCCCTGGAAAAATTTAAAACTTTGGGAAAATTAGTTTATTTACAATCATACATGTAATGTTGACTTTACTGACTTTTAAAAAGTTCGAAATTGTCACTTTTTTGACTTTTACTTCCGGCCCACGGGTCGAAAGTTTACTTTCGACCCGTGGGCCGAAAGTAAATGAAATTTTTAAAATTTATTGTATTTTTTGACTCTTACTTTCGGCCCACAGGTCGAAAGTAAAGTTTCGACCCGTGGGCCGAAAGTAAATGAAATTGTTAATTATTGTATTTTTGAGTTTCAATCCAAATGAAAATTTCAAAATTCGAATGATTGTAAATAAAATAGTATACATACCTCGGTGAAAAGTTTCATTACTGTCTCGAGATTTCAGTTAGACCTCGGCTGCGCCTCGGTCTAACTTAAATCTCTCGACAGTAATGAAACATTTTCCACCTCGGTATGTAATATACTATTCTTACCTTCCTCTTTACATGCAAAAAAATTCAAAATTTTCCCTTCACTAGTTTTCCACGAAAACTTTGAAATGTGTGAGATTGTATTTTCAATTAATTCAGTTATTGTAGGTTGATTTCCAATATTCGTTATTTTGTTATTTTCCACTGGAAAAATTTGAAATTTTGGGAAAATGAGCTTCTCACCCTCCTCTTTATATGCAAAAAGTTTCAAAATTTTCCCTTTACTAGTTTAATAGGAAAACTTTGAAATGTATGAGACTGTATTTTCAATTAATTCAATTTTTGTAGGTTGATTTCCAAGATTTTTCATGTTGTTGTTTTCCACTGGAAAAATTTGAAATTTTGGGAAAATGAGCTTCTCACCTTCTTCTTTACATGCAAAAAGTTTCAAAATTTTCCCTTTTCTAGTTTTCCAGGAAAACTTTGAAATATGAGACTGTATTTTCAACTAATTCAGTTTTTGTAGATTGATTTCCAAGATTTTTCATGTTGTTATTTTCCACTGGAAAAATTTGATACTTTGGGAAAATGAGCTACTCACCTTCCTCTTTGCATGCAAAAAGTTTCAAATTTTTCCCTTTTTTTAGAGGAATTTGTGACATATATGGAGAAGTTTGTGGCGAGGTAATTGGAAGAATTTGTGATAGGGTATCTGGAGGAATTTGCAGGAATTTTGAGGAATTATGCGTAAAGAATTCCCCTTTAAGGTGGTTGTGGTAGTTTACCCCTTGGGCTATTCATTTGTACTTGCTTTACCTGCTCCAAAAATCAGAAGGAGCTGCTATATATGGGACAAGTGAACACCGATCTGCTCGAAGCAAGAAAAGCACTACAAATGAACACCCTATATATTATAAGAGGTAATACAAGTACCATTGCGATACAAGTTTGTCCGAGTAACTTTCAGTCAATTGAGCCAAGAAAAATACCGAAATTAAAAAACCAAAAACCAAGATTCCACCGCCATATTTGACATATCTGTAATAGTTTTTGACATCTACACTTCCAATGTTTTTGTCTTCGTGATAGATTTTTACCAGCTTATGATGCTTTTCTACATTAATTGGCATAATAATTAATTGGTTTTTATTATTATCAAATATCTCTTCATCAGGCTTTATTATTGTTTTTATCCGTCCATGTTCCAAGATGTACAACTTATTGGCATGCTTCAAATGATTATTGTTTTGCGTTACAAGTACAACGATTTTGTCTTTTAAAAATTGCTTGATGCAAACCTGGAAAATGTCATCTTGCACTTTAACATCTAAACAAGCCAAAGGATCATCTAGCAGGTAAATGTCGCTTTGTTTGTAGATTGCTCTAGCCAAATTCACTCTGGCTTGTTGGCCTTTGCTCAAATTTAAGCCACCATCTATGAAATAATTGAATGTTTTAAATAGTGTAAATGAGGCTTTAATTATTACCTATTACAACTGTATTGTCTCCGTTAGGCAAATGTGTTAAGTCTTGCCGCAACGAGCAAATCTCTATAATTTTGTCGTAGCGTTCTGAGTCAAATGATTGGCCAAATAAGATGTTTTGCCTCACAGTGGCTGGAAATAGCCAAGGGTCTTGTGACGCATACGACATATTGCCAAATATTTCAAAATGGCCTCGTGTAGGGCTGTATTCTTCCAAAATAATCTTCAATCAAAGTTAAATTATCAAAAGCAAATATAATAATTATTATAATCTACCTTTAAAATTGAAGTTTTTCCTGATCCCAAAGGTCCAGAGAACATGTACAAACCAGGTTTGTCTATGCACAAAGTCAGATCACTTAAAATGGCTTCGCCATCGATGCTTAAGGATATGTTTTGGAAGTTTAGCTTGGCGGGTGCTAAAATACGATCTAAGGTCTTGTATTTTTCTTTGGGGTCGGTTAGGTGCTCTTCCATGTTTAAGATGCGGCCTATTCTCACCACTGAGGCGTAGAATTCGGCCGTTAGGCCGAAACCGTTCGGTAATAGTGAGCCTATAACCGAGGCGAACTCCTAATGAAAATAAGTAATATAGAGACTTGACAAAGTCGCTTATGAAGGAGAAGATGGATGTTTGTTGAATTGAATGTTGCAGTAAGGCATGAAAAAGTGAGGGTATGTGATTATGAAATCCTTTGATCATTTTCCTATAGAAAGCAACTTAAAGAAGGAAAGATTTATCCCTTTAGCATTTCAAAATAAGTTGGATGAAATCTTCTAAGGACATGAATATTAAACTCCAGCGACATAATCATGATTAATTGGCAAACTTCAAATATGGTTAATATGTAACTTACCTTAAATAATCCCATTAGATAATAAACCAACTCCGTATCGATAGAATATCCAAATGAAATGTAGGACAATAAGAAAACTGGAAAAAGCAACTTGGCAAACATTGTCCCAAAACCTATAATAAAGTAACCCAAGTACCAACTTCGTACATTGGCTTTCGTTTCTTTCCTAGTAGATTAAAGCATTTGATAATACAGTTGACTTCAGATTTCAGAAACTCACTTTCTCGCCTCACAAATTCTCCGATGAAAAAACATCTCCCAAGTGTACATTTTGATGATTTTAATTGCCGACAAAATTTCTCTGGTAAACTGAAGCCTTTCGTCGGCCTTTTTGCCAACCTTTAGCCTCAATTTCAAGACAAATTTACTTAAAATTGCTACAATTACTCAATAAGTAGATGGAACTAGTTTGTGAAAACTGATTACCTTGCAAAGCAACTGTCATAGCCATTAAACCAGTGACCACCAATGAAGGTATTCCGATTCTTATATACAACAAATAACTGAGATAAAAGAACTTAATAAGGCCCAAAATTGTGTCGCTCAAAGGCCATATAGTACTTTCTATGGTGCGAATATCTTTGGTCAAAATTGTCACTATGCTTCCCATGCTCGAGCCTTTCACTTGGTCAGGTCGCAGTTTGATAACTTTCTTTTAAACAAAATTGCTTGTAGAATAAAATAAATCAATTGCTATTGACTCACCCTGTATATTAAGGATGTTATCGAGGATCTTATTTGAGTCCCAAGAGTACATTCTAATGTGAAATAGTTATGGATCCATAAACTTTGGAAAATGTAAACGAATATGATTGTGAAGCCATAGAAGTATGAGTCTTGTTTTGTTATACGAGTTTGGTTTTTTTCGAAGTAGGCTATGAATCGGCTCATTGCGTAAGGGAGGATTGTACTATAAGAATAATTTATTGTTAGATTTGAAATTAAAGACTTAATAAAATTACCTTCTAAATAAATCCCATGTGGTATGTATAGCAGTGTACAGGAAATATTTATTTCCAAAACGTTTTATTAAAAGTCTTAGGGTGCTTTTGCAATATTGCCAATCTTGGTCGATTTTGTCGCCGCATCGTTTTGAGCTGCAAAATGTTGGTACTTCGTAAATATCACTTTCTTGGAGGTTGCCTTTTTTGAATAGTTGAAGGGTGTAACTGAAGAATTTTCAAAGATAAGTTGAATGATGATGATTGAAAAAATTACTTACCCAAAAGTTAAAAAAGATAATAAGTTTGAAGTTTGTCTGGGATTTTTCTGCCTTACCTCTTCGCTTCCCGAATACATTGTTACACCAAACCAAAAATATTTTTATTATGATAACATACAATCACTTTGACACTATATAAAACAACAAAGATAAGACTTTGAAACAATAATTATTGTCCCAAAAAAAAACTTAATTCCGGAATAAACACTTTGAAGACGATTACGTTATTGTTGTTTTTTCTTCAAGAAAGAGGCGTCTATTCATTAACTCAGGCTACAATAATTTTCAAATTGAATGTTCAGGATGGAGGCCGGAATGAATTTGTCTAAATTTAATAGACGCGGCTTTTATTAAATAATTTGCTTCTTAAAGTGACTCATTTTTGCCTAATTTGAAATAAAAATCAACTTTATTTTGTTTTCAGATACTTGGAACCTAGAATGACCTCCGCAAGCAAAATCATCCCTAATATAGAAAGTTTCTTGAAAAAAGTAAAAATTTCTTCCTTCTCTTTAGCTTGAAATTTGAGGAGTTTTGAGGCCCTTTAACCCAATTCAAAACTTTTTTCTTCTTAAACGTTCCAGAACACTTTAGAACAAATATAGAGTTTTCAAACACATTCCAGAACAGTTCAGAATTCCTCTCAACTTTCAGCAACATTTCAAAGAGCTTCAAAGTTTTAATCCAAGTTAACATTTTCAAGAGCAATTTAAAACGCTCTAGATCATTGTAGAACATTTAGAATTTTCAGGAACCTTCTTGAACGTTCCAGAACAGTTAAGAACAAATGTAGAGTTTTCAGGAACATTTCAGAACAGTTTAAAATACCTCTTAACTTTTAGCAACATTTCAAAAATCTTGAAATTTTTCAAAGTTTTAATCCAAGATCAAAACAAATTTTTCATGGCACTCTAGATTGAAAAGTAAAAATTAAAATAATTTGGAAATGAAATGTCAAAAAGTAACAAATAAGGTGTCATTGAACTCGTAATGTAATTTCCTATTGAAATAAGAGAAAAAATACCTGGCGTCTCCTTTAAAATAAGAAAGTCCTGTCAAACCGGAAGTGATAATAAATAATTGACGTTTTCAATTAAAAGAGATGGACGATAAGTATGAAAACATTCATTTTCCCGCCAAAATTTGCTTGCTTGTCAATGTCAATGTGTATTGGGTGTTTAGCAATCCCCTCATTTTTATTTGAATCGGTGACTTCACCAATGAGAATGAGTTAGCTATCTTTGTTAAGTGAATGGAAAATGACAATGACCGACATAGAATGATGGATCCATCGGTAAAATTTGATAATAAAAACGCAGGGTTTGAAATTGGGAAGAAAATGTAGGAAAAGTCACTGCTTCATTCGCAGAACTTCGCTATGGAGCCGGTGGTGGATTATTTTGGAAGCAAACAGCTTCTGCAAACTAAACTTGAACGTGGATTACTTTGTAGATTTGATGGGCTGTGGATTTCCCTTTCTTTTGCGAGTATCCTTTCCGGATTCTGATTTTGTGTATCCAAGTTTTGACAAATGTAGTATTTGATGGAAACTTATGGAAAAACACGTCCGCCGGTGAATAGGAATAAATAGGAATTAGATTTATGGATAGGCACACTACACACAATCACCATTGTTAAGAAAAAACCTTGAAAAACCCGAGAAAATAATAGTTTCTTTCAAAAGTCTTGTCTACAAACCACTGTCAACGGCTGTCAACCATTGTTTTCATACTCTTTTGGCGTCTGACAGTTTGATGCCAGAGAGAGAGGCTTTTAAATTGAAAAGGTCAATGTTGACACATGCAAACAGCGACTTTTTGAAAAAATATTGAATAGGTTTTTCAAAAACGGTTGAGTTTTAGTATAGGTAATTCCTGACAAAAAGTATGTAGGATTTTCAGAACAATCCATTATTGTACTAAAATATAGGGTGTTCCATTTCAAATAACAAAGTTCTGTCGCATACCCCATTTCAGAGTACCCTGCATATTCAAAAATATTTTTAACTAATGCACCTTAGAGTTTTACTTTACAAAACATCATTATTTTTAAAAAATCATAGCTCCATTAATAATAACTCAATCGATTTGAGTTTTCAATATTTTTTATTTTTAACCATATATGTAATGTTGACATTACAGTCTTTTTAAAAACTTGGAAATGTCACTTTAATGTCTTTTCATTTCCCTGCTCCACTTCCCGTCCCCATTTCCCGTCCTCACTTCCCGTCCTCGTTTCATTATATTTATGTGGCAGGTATTGTCATTTTTTTTTTCAAAATTGATGACAATGACATAAAATTCAAGCAAATAGCTTGAAGCTACGTTCACATTCAATTTCATTTCTAATTTAAATTAGCAAAAATTATGGTTAAAAATAAAATAGTATACTATGCTCGACAGGAAATTCAATTACTGTCTCGAGAGATAGTTCATCTCGACGCTACGCGTCTCGATAAACTATAGTATTTTTTACAATGAATCTTTAGGAAAAAGTCCTCAAAATTTCAACATTTCACTCACTTTAGTTTATGAGTGAAAAAATTGTTTGTAACATTTTACTTGAAAAAACATCATTATTATAAAAAAAATCACAACTCCATTAATAATAACTCAATCGCTTTGAGTTTTTAGTATTTTTTACATTGAACCTTTAGGAAAAAGTCCTCAAAATTTCAACGTTCCACTCACTTTCGTTTTTGAGTGGAAAAATTATTTATAGAGTCTCACTTCACAAAACATCATTATTTAAAAAAAATCATAACTCCATTAATAATAACTCAATTGCTTTGAGTTTTTAATATTTTCTACATTGAACCTTTAGGAAAAAGTCCCTAAAATTTCAACGTTCCAGTCATTTTAGTTTTTGAGTGAAAAAATTGTTTGTAAAATTTTACTTCAAAAAACATCATTATTTTTAAAAAATCACAACATTAATAATAACTCAATCGCTTCGAGTTTTTAGTATTTTTTACATTGAACCTTAAGGAAAAAGTCCTCAAAATTTTAACTTTCCACTCATTTTGGTTATTGAGGGAAAAAATTGTTTGTAGAGTCTTGTTACTTTACAAAAAATCATTATTTAAAAAAAAACAAAACTCCATTAATAATAACTCAATCGCTTTGAGTTTTCAGTATTTTTTACATTGAATCTTTAGGAAAAAGTCCTCAAAACTCGCCTCAAAATTTCAACTTTCCACTCGCTTTAGTTTTTGAGTGAAAAAATTCTTTGTAAAGTTTTACTTCAAAAAACATCATTATTTTTAAAAAATCATAACTCTATTAATAATAACGCAATCGCTTTGAGTTTTCAGTATTTTTTACATTGTACCTTTAGGAAGAAGTCCTCAAAATTTCAACTTTCCACTCACTTTAGTTTTTAAGTGAAAAAATTGTTTGTAGAGTCTTACTTTACAAAAAATCATTACTCCATTAATAATAACTCAATCGCTTTGAGTTTTTAATATTTTTTACATTGAACCTTTAGGAAAAAGTCCTCAAAATTTCAACGTTCCACTCACTTTAGTTTTTGAGTGAAAAAATTGTTTGTAAAATTTTATTTCAAAAAACATCATTACTTTAAAAAAAATCACAACTCCATTAATAATAACTCAATCGCTATGAGTTTTTAGTATTTTTACAATGAACCTTTAGGAAAAAGTCCTCAAAATTTCAACTCTCCACTCACTTCAGTTTTTGAGTAAAATAATTATTTATAAAGTTTTACTTTACAAACCATCATTATTTTAAAAAAATCATAACTCCATTAATAATAACTCAATCGCTATGAGTTTTAAGTATTTTTTACACTGAACCTTTAGGAAAAAGTCCTCAAAATTTCTACTTTCCACTCACTTAGTTTTTGAGTGAAAAAATTGTTTGTAAAGTTTTACTTTACAAAACAAAATTATTTAAAAAAAATCATAACTCCATTAATAATAACTCAATCGCTATGAGTTTTAAGTATTTTTTACACTGAACCTTTAGGAAAAAGTCCTCAAAATTTCTACTTTCCACTCACTTAGTTTTTGAGTGAAAAAATTGTTTGTAAAGTTTTACTTTACAAAACAAAATTATTTAAAAAAAATCATAACTCCATTAATAATAACTCAATTGCGTTGAGTTTTTAATATTTTTTACATTGAACCTTTAGGAAAAAGTCCTTAAAATTTCAACGTTCCACTCACTTTAGTTTTTGAGTGAAAATAGTATACAGGGTGTCCCACGGTGGATGGCGTATTAGACGTTTATGGAGAACTGAAAAGCGGATCATTTTGAAAATTTGGCAACCGGGATAAACGACTATGATCTACACTTTAAAAATATTTTTTACCATGCGGTGTTGCCGCTTCTTCTCTAAACTAGTGGCAACATCACTATTTTAAATGGAACACCCCGTATGTGATTGCATATTTGGATTCTACGTAAAATTCTGAGCAGATTTCATGTGATATACCCTATACCTAAGTTTAACTGTTTTGGAAATATTGACAGTTGAAAATTGACTTTTTGCAACTTTGACAGGCTGTAAAACCTGAACGGTTAATTTTAGAGGAGAACCGATTTTACATTCCTATCTTAGATTTTTATAAACTATCATTTGACACCAACTTTGAATTAAATCCATGATTAAAAATTTCAGTTAAATTTAATCTCCGGTTAAGTTCAAAGTTGGTGTCAAATGATAGTTTATCAAAATCTAAGATAGGAATGTGAAATCGGTTCTCCTCTAAAATTAACCAATTAGGTTTTACAGCCTGGCAAAGTTGCAAAAAGTCAATTTTCAACTGTCAATATTTCCAAAACAGTTGAACTTAGGTATAGGGTATATCATAGAAGCGGCAACACCGCATGGTCAAAAATATTTTTAAAGTGTAGATCATGGTCGTTTATCCCGGTTGCCAAATTTTCAAAATGATCCGCTTTTTAGTTCTCCATAAACGTCTAATACGCCATCCACCGTGGGTAACCCTGTATTATGCAATGATCATGTAATGATAGCCATTAATACACAAGCATGTTGTAGGATACGAAACCAGGCAAGTTTCTTATATAACATGTGAGTGTATTAATGGCCATTACATAAGAGTTGCATACACTATTTTTTCTACTTGCAATAATAAACGAAAATCATATTTATTTTATAGGAATAGTAAACCATAGAATTAGTAAACTTCTCAACTGGTGATAATTGTTGACAACTTGACAATTTCAAAAATTAAGATCTAGACTTCATTTGGGCATAAATTCCGCACTCGATTTATTAATTTTTTGTTGTTTCTTCTGGTAAATACTAATAGAAACAATCCAGTGGCTGAAAAATCTGTATCATAATGAAAATCTGTATCATAATGAAGTTCAAGTTCATTATGAAACAGATTTTAGGCGCATTATGAAACGTCAGTAGAAAAAATAGTGTATGCAACTCTCATGTAAGTAATGACCATTCATACACTCGCATGTTATATACGAAACTCGCCTGCGGCTCGTTTCGTATCCTATAACATGCTTGTGTATTACTTAATGGCTATCATTACATGATCATTGTAAAATTTTATTTCAAAATAGTATATTATGCAATGATCATGTAATGATAGCCATTAATACACGAGCATGTTGTAGGATACGAAACGAGCCGTAGGCGAGTTTCGTATATAACATGCGAGTGTATTAATGGCCATTACATGAGAGTTGCATACACTATTTTTTCTACTGCCATTGATAAAACTTATGATATTTGGATATGTCAACATTATGCTTAACTTTGAATAGAGATTTCATAATTGAGTAATCCATACAGATGAAGGTTTCATTTTTTGTTGTAATTCTTCAAAATATACTATCAAAACATTTTCTGAGAAGGATGATGTGTTTTTGGTGTTTCCAATCCATCTGCCCTATGAATAAAAAAGAGAATTTGCTTTTTCTCGCAAAATCTGAAGCAAATGCTTCATCCAGTATGAATAAAAGTTCAAGCAAAACCTTATACTCAAAAGTCGGAAGCAAATGCTCCAGGAAAAAGCAAATACTCTTTTTCTTATGAATAAAAGAGAGTATTTGCTTCAAATTGGGAGCATTTACTCCTTGCAAAATGCATCTGCTCCAGAGCAGATGTATGTTTACTATTTTGGTAAATTATTTCCGAATATTCCTATGTCCCGTTTTTTTGTAGATTGTAGATTGCATTAGCAGTCTATATAGCTTGTTCCAGCTGCTCTAGTGTTCAAGATTTGTAGGCTCCTTCCAAAGGAGGCCAGCTTCCTGGGTGGTAAAGTAGCCACCTCTTGGGGTGTGAGCAAGGTATTTCAGCCTTTCGCAGAAGTGACCAGGGCATTCACAGATTAAGTGTTCCGTAGTTTTTAATGCTTCTTCGCAAGATCTGCAGTAATCGTAAACTGATTTGCCTATTGTTTTTAGGTGATTTCACCAGGTAATGCCCAGTGATCAGTCGACCAACGACTCTTCTAATATTTAAAATTCTTCTGTTCACCATCAAGAAGTTGTTCAGATCTCAGATATGAACCTTCTTCATCTGTTGATTTCTTTGGAGACGTGGCTTTTCATTAGTACACAGAAAGCCACTGCGGGCCTTGAGAAGGTGTTAAAGCGCCTTGCTTTGTGAGACAGCCCGCCTCCTCGTAGCCCTCTTCACTTTATTCCTAAGTTAAGTGTTTAAGGATATTTTTACCCTCCCAAACTAACGGAAAATTGCACTTGATTGGGTTCTAGAACCTTTAGACCCGCTTGACTGTCGGACAGTATGTAAATGTGCTCTCTTAAAAGGACTCTTTTAAGACAATCTTGGGCACAGATGCTTATGGCCAGAACCTCAGTTTGGAATTTTGTGGACGTTTTGCCCATTGCTAATGAAAGTTTAAACTTTGAAGTTTGGTCCAGTTATTCCAAGACCGACTCCTTCCGTTACCTTCGACCCATCTGTGTGACTGTGTACCACCAATCAACGGTTCCATAATGGTGCGTTGTCCACTTGCGGTGGCTTTGCGTTCTTTCATGATTGGCGTTTTTTTACTACCCCTTCCTATGGATCCATTGATATTATCGTTCTGGTAGTTTAATTTGGCATTCAAGTCTTAGATTCAAGCAACAGGTACAATAGGTCAACAGGTAATATCTTTCACTTCATTTCTTTGAAGCATATGCTCGCAAGTAAAAGGTCTTCATTATTCATATGATATGAAGTAAATGCTTCCACTTCTACCTTTTACTTGCAGCTTTTGCTTATACTTCTACCTTTTGCTTAGAAGTAAATGCTCTATTTTTATTCATACGGCTGCATAAATTGTCCATATAATTTTTCGTAAATTTTCTTGGACTTGTCCGGTAGTATATTATTACCTGCATTTGTTGCCCTTTCTGTAATTTCTGGAGGTGTTAGTGAAAATTCTTCGTTATCGCTCAATATTTCCATAATAATGCCTTCTCCCAAACTTAAGGTATTAACTTTTAATAACAATTTGAAGTATTTTTTTAATTATTGTTTTTCGCTAAATTACCATGGAAAAGCTATAAACAGTGCTGCCAACATTCAAAAAAAAAAAAATTCAATTTTTTTTAACTGGTGGCGCCATCTATTGACAATGCATAATAATGAAGAAAGTAAAAATTCTTCCTTATCACTCATTATTTCCATAATAATTATTCTTTGTCCCAAACTTTAGGTAACTTTTAAACAATTCGGAGTCTTTTTTATAGTTATCAAAATAATTGTTTAACGCAAAATCACCGTTTAAAATGTTTAATATCTTAACTAGTGTTGCCATCTATCAACATTGTATAATATTAAAAATGAGTATTATAATGAAAATCTGTATCGTAATGAAGTTCATTATGATACAGATTTTAATCGTTTAATAGCGTATTATGAAATGTCAGTAGAAAAAACATCATTATTTTAAAAAAATCACTACTCCATTAATAATAATTCGAAGAAGGTTTTCGTGTTTTTAAGTGTATTATAATTGCCTATCAGATAACTATAAGAATTTGTATATTATGAGTAAAATGTTTTATAATACTCCTATATAGCAGCATATAAAACACTAATAAAACATATTTGTGTTGGTTGGGATTGATCACCAGTCAAGAGATGAATGTGGTAGTCGATCGCAAACAATTTGAAAAACAATAGTAAAACCAATAGGATTTATAATTTCGCTAGTATAAGTTTTCAATGGCAAATTAGTTGAAAAAATTCTTGTATATGGAAACAGTTTCTTAAAAGTTTTATGTGACATTGATGAAACTGCAGCACCAGTATCATATTCCATATGAACTGGTATTGAATTTAAATATTTACTAAATAGTTTTCTTGTATTTTCAGGAAAAAGTAATTCTTTAACAACTATGATGACCTCTACCGACGCTTCAACCAGACGAAATCAAAGTGATTTGTTAAATTTGTTTAAAATACCAAACTTTCACAACGATTCCATGTATCTACTATCCAGAATTGGACTTCATGCCCCAGCAAGGACCACACGCTCTTCCACTACCTTCTCAGAAAAAAATCCACCGTACTAACTATGGTTCGAACACTTTTATCTCCAGAAATTTCCGAATCTCTAATGAGTTCAATACTCTGGACTTTTTGAGTCCTGAAGACTTTAAAACAGGAGTTTAACTCCTTAAACAAAGTTCCTGTAAAAACTATTAGGTACCTAATCGTTAATTCAATATTTAATAATAAATTTGTTGCGTAGTTGTGCTTCTAGACTTCTTCTAGATTCATAGAAACATATAGGTTGGCAACTGAGAACACAGCGTTTAAGTCTGAGGTGAATGAGGATTAGAAAAAAAACAATATGAAAATACACAATTGCAATGGACTAGAGCGCAATAGATATACCTATTTAGTTCGCATATATTTCTGCTGTTCAATTCCTGCTGGTCGCACTATACTTTTACAAACCTTTGATTGTTTCTAGTGGATCGAGATTTTAAAAACAACCCAAACTTCTTAAAAACGTCCTTTTTATACCTTTTTTAAAAAACACTTTGATTTGAATGTTGAAAAAAAACATGTACAAAGACATTTCCTGTTGTTGGTTGAACAAACGTAACAAACGTTTATAAAACGTTTTATTTTGCACTCAACTTTACAGTACACTAGGAGGTAAAATGCTACTTTCCACTTGCAAATAAGTGCGGTAAAGTCTATTTTCAGTATTTTCCGCACGCAGGTAGACGTAAAAACCTATTTTAGGTAATCCTACTATGCCAAACAATTTCCATGAAAATAACCAATTTAATAATCAGCCATCACCAAAATAATTTATTCAATAATAAACCTTACCTTTTAATTATCATTTTCCAGCTTACCAGGCATATTTTAACACAAAATTTACCCGTTTTTCTTTGAAAAACGAACCTGGGACCCAAAAGCACAACCTTCCTGCACGCCATTTTGTCCTGAAAGAGGAAGAAACAGGGCCGATAATGAAGACTTCTGTGAAATGTCATTGTTTTAACTAGCGACATCTTGCGGCGATTGATGAAAGTAATCAATTCGTATTTATTAAATATTCATTATTATTTTGCTAATTAACTGTTAAATTACTTATTTTAAGTATTTTAAGCATTTATTCAGTAGAAATAAGCCTTCTACTAGGCTCAGAAGCATTATTTTACAAGTTAAAAACCATGAAACCTTGTATTCTTGAAGCTATCAATAATAATAATTTTCAAAGAAAAATATTTATTCAATAATGAAACTTACCTTTTAATAAATATTTTCCAACATACCACGGGTATTTTAAACCCATGATTTCACTTTAAAAAGCAGATTTTAGGGCCCGCAGATAAAGAGCTTCCTCACGCCATGTTGTCCTGAACCAAAAGAGATCGATAAAGAAGATTTCTGCAAAATGTCGATAAAAAGCCTAGCGACATTTTAAGGCATTTTTAAATATTTCATTATTATAATTTGCTAATAAATAAGCTTATTTACTTATTATAAGCATTTATTAAGCCTTCTAGAAGCTTAAAAAGCATTAATTTTGCTTAAAATTCAACAACCGCAAAAGCTTGAAATTCTAACCTCAAAATTTTCCTTCTTGTCAAAAAGTGTAAACAACATTGGAAAAAGATGTTTAAAATTCCTACTGGAGCCCTATTAAAACTGCAAACGCAAAGTAGTACTTTGCACACCTCGGCAATAGTCCAGGAAATCCAGAAAATGACCAGACTTCGGGTTGTCGATAATAGTACTTTGGGAAAACAGGCCATGGCCGAGGGCAAGCCCCCCAAGTGCATTCACGTGTACAATAAGACTGGAATAGGGAAAATTGGTTTGTATTTTTTTGAATTATTAGTTGGTTTTCTTAATAAACTATTGAAATTTTAATTTGGATAAGTTTTGAGTTGGAAATTCATTCATTAACAATTTCACATTGAGTTTTCTAGGTATCCAGGGCTAGTTTAATGTTCGAAATGAGCTGTTATCGACGTATTTATTAGAAATTTAAGCCTAATTACGTTAAAATCGGATTGAAATTAACAAAGTTATGGGGCAAAATGTGGGTAGATGTCATTTTGGAAAAAGTCAGTCAGTAATGGATTGAAATTCAATGTAAACAAAGAAAATTCAAGAGCTTGGAATAAACAAAAAGTGTTTAAAATTCAATCTGATACTGAATTATTTTCTATTTCTATTCTATTTACTCAAACTTAAATATTCCATCTTTTTCCAGGTGACAAAGTCCTGGTAGCAATAAAAGGTGAAAAGAAAAAAGCGATTCTAGTGGGCCTGAAACAAAACCAAAAAGCCAAAGTACCGAAATTTGACAGCAACAACATAGTACTGATCGACGACAATGGTACTCCTTTAGGTACCCGGATACATGTGCCTATACCTACAATATTACGCACCATTTTGAAGGAAAAAACACAATCCAAAGGAGCCGATTATACCAAACTTTTAGGCATAGCTTCTAGATTTGTGTAGAGGGGAATTATTTATTAATAAATTATTGTATTATTATAATATTGTTTATTTTGATAGAAAGGAAAAACAAATACAAAGGTGAGAAAACTCAAATCTAAGCCAAAGACTACTTCTTAATATCACTAGAAAGAAAGACAAAAATCCAAATAAATAATTACTTACCTCTGAAACAAATAGGTCTGTTTCTGCAGAAATTAGAAACCGTTTTTCTGTTTGGTTTGTGATTTCTGCAGAAAAAGACCTATTGAGTTAGTGGATAGAGAATACAATTCAAATGTCCAATAACTCAGCATTAAACTAAAAAAATAATACCAATAAGTATGTAAAATCTCTTTAAAAAAATCCTAAAAATACTATTATTAATTCCTATATGTGAAATTTGATATTGGCGCTATTTTATTTACATGACCGAAGGGACATTTATTAAAAAATGATTTAAATAAATTAAAAAAGTATTGATGCTCCCTGCCCAAAATGTCCCACAATGAAATCCTAAAGCGTATTTTTACTCTAAGGCCAGTATTGTAATTTATTACCTGTAACAAAAATAAAATGGCCATTATTTATCCCAAAGGACCGCGCACCAATCACTTTCCATAAGATTGGTGCGGGGCCATATGGATATAGTTAAATTACTACTTACCTATGATAAAAAAGGCACTATAAAACCTTTTTGATCAAACTCATGTGGCGCGGTTTCGCTTTACTCTTCAGCTGCTGTATGAGGTCGAAGATTTTCAGACTGGGGCCCACTTTGCCACAGGTGTATTCCAAAATGTCTTCTTTTTTCAGATTAAGAAGCATTTTGCCTGTAATTTTCTACAAAACAACATTTATATTATACAATACTTACATAAAAATAAAATTCTTACTTGTTTGCTAAAAGCATCACAATAATTAGCGCAATCGTTGACTCGTAAAAATTGTCCAACATCAAACATGTTCCACTCTAAAGGACAAAGTCTACTTGAGTCATCTATCGTCAATATGCCATTGTCCACTAGTCTGGGAATTACTTTTGGACTGGTGCTAGTGGAAGCAATTATTGGAAATGGTTCACTTTCTATTGGTTCACTTTCTAATGGTTCACTATTACTAGGTGGAGTTTGGTCTAAAGGTTCAGGTTCCTCGCTTATTTCGCTTTTGATGTCCAAACAAGCGCTGTGATGATCGTCTTCGTGGATTTCTTCTTGAGGCTCGACTTCTGGAGTTTCGTTCTGGAACGTAATTGTGACAAGGTTGTTCCAAAAAAAAAGTTATTTGTGAATTACCTTGATGTTTTTGATTGAATGTGATGCTGATGATGAGCCGTCGAAAGAACTGTTTTTTGAGTTTTCTTTGATTTTCTTCTTGCGGGTCTTCTTTTTAACTGAAAAATGGTTGGAATTTAAGCAAAGTTACAGAGATATATTCTCAAGAATTTCGTTGTTAACATAGGTTGACAAAACATGAAAATTTGTTTATTATATCAAATAATATAGAAGATATTGATAGGTCATTCTTGGATTATAGAAGTTTTTATGGGATGTGTGGTTATTTGAATGTCCCAGCAACATTTCAAATACACCTGCTACCATTTAATTTATTGATAATGAATTCTCTCTTTGGGTGAGATTCGCATGGATCTTTTAATAGCATCCATTTCAACTAGTTCTACTTTCTCTTTCGTCTATATGTAATTCTCCAAGTCTCTCGGCTCCATATAGAAGCTTTTTATCATTGTCTCATACCTATATATTGAATTTTCTCTTCTTTGTTTTTTCCTTGCTCTATAAGATTCCATCCACGACGTACTTAAGTTTCTGCAAACAAGATTTCAATCCCTTGAAGCCTGCGTACAAGGTAAAAAAAAGTTCAGCGAGCAAACACACAGCACAACTAAAAGCTGTGAATACTGCAACGAGAATAACCACAGCATCTATAACTGTCAGAAGTTTCAAACATTAACTCTATCTGTAAGATTTAAAGTCATCAAGGAGAAGAAGATCTGCATAAACTGCCTGAGACACCCAGCGCGCATAAGATATAATTCAATCGTCGTATGTCACTCCTGTAAGAAAATTCCACCATACAATGGTACATGTAGACTTTAACCAGAAGCTTCCAGCAACCAAACAACAGGAACGTCCAACCAAATCAGCAACCCCGTAGAGACACAAGGCAGTTCTCAACCAATCACCTTGGGGAGACACAACGAATTGGTCCTGTTGGCAACAGCAGTCATCAAAGTCCACAATAATAACCAAGGGATAGTGAACATCTACGTGTGCTTATAGATCCACATTCATAACTGAAGAAGCTGCTTCATTACTATACATACCACGTCAGCGCATAAGAGCCGACGTAGCCGGACTTGGAAGCACAGAACCTCAAGTGGCAAAATGGATGGTAGAAATAAACGTCAAGCCAAGATTCCCGAGCAGTTTTTCAATGGAAATTCCACATATTGTTCTACACAAACTAATAAGAACGCTACAACAAAATTGAGAGTAGTATTTTATGTCTCAAACAAAACTTCAAGTGGAATCAGTCTTAATGATGCGATGTACTCAGGCCTGAAACTTCAGCAGGAATTGCTAGACATATTACTTCGATGGAGAGCACATAAAATTGTATTGGCAACAGATGTCAAGAAAACATATCGGCAAAACAAAATTCACCCAGACGACCAAAAATATCAAACAATTCTATGGAGATTCGGACCAAATGAAGCAATACAAGCATACACGCTAACGACAGTTACATTATGGAACCACCTCAGCTCCATACTTGGCCATTAGAACGTTACAGCAACTGGTCTGATGCGAGAAAGACAATTTCCCACTAGCATCTAGAGTAACCAAACTACGTCGACGATCTGGTACGCTTGAAAAAGTCATCAATCTCCAGACAGAACTCATAGGCATGTTTAAAGCTAAAGGATTCATCCTACGCAAATGGTCCAGCGACCATATACAAATCCTTAACTGGGAAAATAATCCCTACAAGAAATCACTGAAGACGGCACGCGAAAATCCTTGGGAATCCATTGGGCACCATATGATGACACTTTCAGATTGAAAACGCAAGTCTACATGGAACAGAAAGTTACCAAACGCATTATTCTCTCCAAAAATAGGATGATTCGATTCCGGCTAACATCTAGACAAAATGGAGGCGATTCCAAGATGAACTAAAGGCAGTGAAAGACATTTTGCTGCCCCAATGGACCAACCAAACAAGTCAGATGGAATTACACGGCGCTGTAATTTATCTCAAAGTTAACAGCATAGAAGGACCACCCAGAATATTACTTGTCACAGCCAAATTTAAAGTTGCTCCAACAAAAACTACACTCCCAAGATTAGAGCTATGTGCAGCTGTTCTTCTTGTAAAACTCATGAGAAGAACCGTCACTGCATTATCAATGGAGGAAGTTGATAAATATACATAGAATGATACAATGATAACAATATCATGGATAAAGGGAGATGTTACAAGATTGAAGACATTCGTAATAAACCGAACGGCAGAGATCAACTCCCTACTACATACCAGACAAGAACCATGTCAGAACTTCGGAAAACCCAGCAGACGCTATCTCAAGAGGCATGGATGCAACAGACCTGGCACAGTTCAAAATGTGGTGGCTAGTGTCAAAACCCACTATGGAAGTATTACCTCCAGTTACAGAAGAAGTAAAACTGTGTTTGTTACGCATCAGTTATAATGGCAGAGGATGCCAATCGGAGATGAAAATCACTAGCAGATTTTCGTCACTTATCAAGATGATTCAAGTTCTAACGTACTGTCGTTGAATAATGCTCAAAGAAAACTGGCACAGAAAAGGTCCACTACAGGTTGACGAACTCATCACTACTCTAGAATTAGTAGTCAAACAGAAACAATGTTGTCATTTCAGAGAAAAAATAAAGTCACTGTCAACAGTAAAAGCAAAATCATTAACCTCAACCCAGTATTAGATCACAAAGGTATGCTGACAGTGTGGGCGGACGATTAGAAAAGTTACATCTACCATACGAAACCAAGCATACCATACAAAAGCTGTAACGAAGTTTCAGTATTTTTCATAAAATAAGTGCGCCTCCCGCTTCGACTTAATTTAATTATTAATTGTGTGACTTAATTTTCTATATTCACGGCGGTATTAATTATTAAAATCCTCTTTATATTATTCGTAAATATTAAATACATTATTATGATTACGCGTGATTTCGCCTGGAATCTACCGATCCCCGCCGCGTCCCTGACCCATATTTTCGGCTATAAATTGGACAGAATTTGCTGGTAGAAGACACCGGTCTCCGAAAAGCCAGTCGACCTGACAGCAGTGATAGCAGCATAACCACCAGAACCGTCCGAGGTACGCCAACCCGCCGTAACCACAGTAGGGGTCAGTTCTTGCAGGGTCGCGAATTACACTAGAAGGTAAAAATCAATTATAAAAGCTTCACTAAGATTTTTGCCCGGTACCTTGGACGGGTAAATCTTTTCCTGCAATAGGGGTTTCGCACGGTACCCTGGACGGGTAGTCCCTATTGCTCTTAGAACTTCGTCCGGTACCCTGGACGGGTAGTTCTGTATGAGAGATTTTCGCCTGGAACCTAGGACAAGTATTTCTCTCCGAAGCTTATATGGTATCTCTAATCCGTTAAATGCATGATTCGAGAACTGACGCTTATGTTGTTTCAGGTGGTGTCGGTACTTTTGCTTGGGTCACCGGAGTTTGTTTTACCGCTTTATTGCTATTTAACATTCGTCGTTAGCGTTAACGTTACCGAAACTTTTAGAGCTACCGGAAGGCTGACCGTTCTATTAGCGCTACCGTTAACTTTTCCGGACACGCTTTTCACCGCCCACATGGTCACGCTTTTACCGCACGCACATAATTTTTCATTCAGGTAATCATCTGTCTCACGCATCCCCGTTCATTCTTTCACAGGGTTTCACGGTATTACAAATTGTTATATTTATTTAAATTTATCGACTATTGTCTATTTCTTTTCCCCAAACCAAGGTTTTCAGAAAATTTTACAGAGCAAGCGTCTGTGACCCCTGAATTACCGTTTCTCCACTGTAACAAATTACCTGGTGCACGTGGACCCTCGACCACTTTAATCCTGAGGGTGGCGCCCGAGGCAAACCATTAGATAAACCGACTTACACTGAACCCGTGTTGATTGCGCAACAAAAGCGCTTTACAAAGCCATCTCACCAAGCTCATAATTCTCGACACTCACAATCAAACCTTACATGGAGGAAACCAGCTCACACTGGCATATACAAGAAGACAGTTTTGAATAATAAATGCCAAAAAAGCTGTGAAATAAGTTATTGGAAAATGTATAAAATGCATTCGGTTTAAGGCAACTACAGTGGACCAACTCATGCGAAATCTGCCGGCAACAAGAGTATCACCATCTCATCCTTTCGAGCATGGGCCACTGCAGATTCGGATAACTAGAAGAAGATACAAGGCAGTCGTTAGCGACATGTCATCCGACACTTTTTTGGCAGCCTACCGACAGTAAACAAAAGTTTGTGTCGCCAATATCTAGGAGAGCAATCCACCACCGGTGTATCCCCTCCAATTTGGTTGCCAAATTGTTAGGGATTGATATTATATTCTGTTATGACTTTGCTTCAAAAAGTTGGAGCTTCAAGACTTAAGTGAGTTGCACCCGTAACATTTCTTCATTATTTTTGTCAAGTGAATGGCGGATTTAGAGGGGAAAGCGAGTGTTGTTTACACCACTGATGCATCCCTACCGAGATCCCTACCATGACCCTCCTCGACAGCGCCATAGCAAGGCGTTGATGGGCCCTGGTGCCCCTAGTAATTTTTCTAGAAATAAATAAATTGCCAAAAATAGGTGCCTCCTTATGGTAAATACTTCACAATATTTGAGTCTAGTAAGTACTAACATGGTATTTTCAAAATATGATTTTGAACTTTTGTAATGGTATTCTTACCATTATTATTATTTTGAATATTTGTTGCATCACACACATTTGTTGAGGGCACAGTATAGAAAAAGTCAGTAGCGCAGCCAGGGAAGGGGAACAGGGGGCCCGGGCCCTCCCCCCCCCAAGGCTTCAGAGAAAAATAGAAAAATAATGAAGTAGACAAAAGCTCATATCATAAAAAGTTTAAAGGATAGTGGGTCTGTGTTTTTTCCTATAATTTTTTCTGCATGGCCCCCCAAAGCAGACAAAATGTCTGGCTGCGCCACTGGAGAAAGTGTTGAATTTTTAGCAACTTTTGCATTACATTTGGCGTTTGCATTTCAAATTTTGAGATTTTTAACATGATGCAATCAAATTAAAATAATTGAGTTCAAGTCAGTGATTATCCTGCTTTTAGTGGGCCCCTCAAGGTGTGGGCCCTGGCGCCATGGTTGTTACGGCGCTGCTCCTCGAGCACCTCACCTCTCCTGGACATGGGGGGTCTTGACATCACAACAAACATCAGTTTATGAACGGTCTATCTGTGTTAAGATGTCATTGCTTCCGACGCTTCATCTCACGAAGAAGACGCTGTGCACATCTCTATAGTGACAACAACGTCACCAATTTCGTCAGTGCTAGCAGAATCCTGCAAAAGGAAATAGTCACGGCCATCCAAAACTCCAATGTTCAATACGAGCTATCATCAGTGGGAACTTGGTGGAAACACAGGCGGCAGTCAAATCTATGAAGTACCACCTGTTGGAAAGACCAGTTTGACATACCAGGAATTGACAACACTTATGAACCAGATCGAAGGCTGCTTGAATTCTCGACCACTGTGTAGCGATATTGATCATCAAACCCACATTATAACCAGTAAAGGCACATAAGTAAAGGTAATTCAGATTTTGTGAAGTTGATAGATTAGTCTTATCATTAATTTAGTTAGCATTTAACATCTTCCAAGAAATATAAACTATAATTTAGAAGAGCAGTTGTTGTTATTGGTAATATACCTTGTTTAAGAAACCCTCAAAAGGGCTTTTTGCCTATTTTGGTTTGTGCAGAGCAATCTACAAAGTTCGATTGTGCTTATATTTTTTATCAGCGACTTTTTCGTTTATTATATGCGCACACGTCACTTGCTAGAAGTGGCTGCATTTTTATGCTGCCTTGTCCGAGATTTTAAAAATAATATATTCTCGGCCGCAGAGTAGACAACACACTCTCGCTACGCGACCCGTACAAATTCGTGTCGTATCGGACGATACGGTCACTACAACGAAACTGCCCTAAGAAGCTATAGAGTACTCTGCTACAGTCAACACTCTTCATTTTGTCCCAGTACCCAGAGAACCAACAGAAACCTTTTCAAAGGTATGTGATCTGTGGGTACCGGGTTTAAACATTTATTTCCTTTTTTTTTTTAAATTCATACAGTCCACTAAACTATTTTAGCCGCCACATATACCTCAAATACTACAACTGTATGCAATGACAAATGATCCAAGTGATCTAGATGTGCTAACTCCCAGTCACTTTCTTATTGGGAGGTCTATATGTAGTAAAACCTCCGGATCCAGTCTCCACAGCTATCACACCAGGTCTCACCGAGAGATGGAGATTCGCACAGAAGCTTAAAAAAGATTTCTGAAAAAAATGGACGTCCGACTATTTACATCAGCTACAAATGGCAAAATTCACAGATCAACCCACGAATAGGAGATCTTATGAATATTAAAGAGCAAGACATTAACCTTAGCAAATGGTCCCTCGGTAGAATACCGGAAATCTACCCATCACAAGACGATAACATGGTGCGAGCGGTCACTCTAAAAAAGGCAGAAGGAGGCTCTACAAAACGGCCGATACATAAATTTAAACTAATAGGGAATATGATAACATAATTGTGACTATGATAATGATGAAGGTATTCAAATGGTTGTAGGGGCATTAAAATGTCACAGGGGCAGGGACGTTTCTCTATTATGACAGTCCAAGAAATTAAGCTCAAACTATAGATGACCAATGGGAAACCCCAAATTTTCTGGGAATTTATCTCCCAAGGCGTTTTATTTATCCTAGTACGGACTACTTGAATAATTAATTTTACCAAATATATACAATAACAAGAAAAATAAATAATGAAACACTTTCTATCTTTATTCAAAATCAATTCAATTACCTTTCGTTTGCTTCGGCTGACCAACATCCACTTCCTCTCCGGGCGCTTCTAACTTATGCCCAACACTCTGACACCAACCCACTGGATAAATGTCGCAACTTTCACAATCCAACCACTGGTCATATTCCGCCTTCCAACCGTCAAACTTAACCTGAAACAAAAACTCACATCCATCCCAATCTATTTCACCAACAAACAAATCCTTACCTGCAATATTCGTCCAACAACTTTTCCAATTGTCGCAACACAAACCATCCTGGGATCCATCAAATCAGCTGCTTCGATTTTCATGCCGGGCACAAATCCGTGCAAAGGCACATATGTATTGAACAAAGAAGGATCTGCAGGTATTGTCCCTGTTTGACTAAGGTACAAATCCCAATCGAAACTGTCCTCTGGATAGTCTTTTGGAGGTTTTAAAGGTACATTGTGCCTCTCGCAAAAGCCCACAGGAAAAATACATGGGGATTTGACGTGGTAGCAAAACCAATCCTCACCAGCCACATCAGACTCGTATGAATCAATCCTGACCATTATAAAACCATAGTTTAAAACTTCCATTACAGTAGCAACAGAAATTGAGGATAAATTCAATGGATCAATTGCTTCTAGTTTCATGCCAACTCTAAAACCCGAGTTATTGTAATCTAAAGAGCCAACTTGCATTGGGACAAATAAATCTTCGGTTGCGTCTTCTTCAAGGAAAATCCCTTGCGAGATTCTTTCAATGTAGCTTATTGGAGCCTCTAAGTGTTGGCCTACTTTTCTAGCCCACCCTACTGGGTGCAACAAGGGCGAGTCTTCGTGACACCAAAACCCTGCCCCACTAGCCAAATCATCAAAATACTTAACATTTAGCCTTTTGCCTATTATTTTATGAATTACGGCCAATCTGACTTGGGAAATTCCGTTTTTGTCTACCACTTCCAAATTCAGGCCCACTTCGAAACGGGATTTTAAGCTTTCGCTGGCCTTGTTGCTGTAGTTCGAGGGTAAAGTTCGAGCGCCGGTAAGACGTTTTCTGAGGAAATCTTTCCAGTCGCTGTATTTGTCTTCAATGGTTTTTGGGGGGATTAGCGGTTTGCCTCTGGTTGCGCACCAACCAACCGGATGGACCTGAAGAGGAATTGATTTCTTGTTTTAAAATTCAAACATTTGCTATAGTGAAAAATTGAGTGCTCATTGTGAGCTGTTCAGAGTAGCTCAATATAACTTAGAACAGATTAATTCTACACTCGGTATTATGGGCAGAATTGTCTGAAGCAGTCTGAAGGTATTTTGAGTTTATTCTTTCAATAATTACTCAAGGTTCAAAATCGCTCCCAAAGTTTCTGAAGTCACTTCTCGGGTTTTCAAAATGGCCTGAAATAGCTTCTAGGGTGACTCTTTCAATCACTTTAAAAACTATTTAAGAATATTCAAAGTGTTCAGAGTGAGATTTTAAAGTGTTCCAAGTATCTCTGTTAAGAGACTGTAATAAGTAATTTGAAGCTTTTCAGATTTTACTCTTCCAAAGCTTTTGAAAAGTTCAAAATGGCTTCAGAAGCATTTGAAGTCACTTGTCATGCTTTTAAAACTCTCTTCAAAAATCCAGAGTAGCTCACAACATGCTTAATTTGAATTTTCAGTAGGTAAGTCTTGCTCTTATGCTTTGTACAGGATACCAGAAAATTTCATATTTGTGGCTTTTATAGTTTTTGAGAAATTACCCCATTTATGTAAGATTGTCATATTTCATTCCTTCAAAAACTATGTATCTATGTGAATCACTTTGTGACTTTTGTGTCCTTTGTTCAATTGCTTTGAATTTTTGGTATATCCTGCTCTAATACCTTATAAAGGATACCAGGAAATTTCATATTTGTGGCTTTAATAGTTTTTGTGAAATTACCCCATTTATGTAAGATTGTCATATTTCATTCCTTCAAAAACTATGTATTTGTGTAAACTACTTTGTGACTTTTGTGTCCTTTGTTCAATTGCTTTGAATTTTTGGTATATCTTGCTCTTATACCTTATAAAGGATGCCAGAAAATTTCATATTTGCGGCTTTTATAGTTTTTGAGAAATTACCTCATTTGTGCAAGATTGTCATATATCATTCCTTCAAAAACTATGTATCTATGTAAATCACTTTGTAACTTTTGTGTCCTTGGTTCAATTGCTTTGAATTTTTGGTAAATCCTGCTTTAATGCCTTATAAAGGATGCCAGAAAATTTCATAGTTGTGGCTTTTATAGTTTTTGAGAAAATACCCCATTTATGTAAGATTGTCATATTTCGTTTCTTCAAAAACTATGTATTTGTGTAAACCACTCCGTAACTTTTGTGTCCTTTGTTCAATTGCTTTGAATTTTTGATATATCCTGCTCTAATACCTTATAAAGGATGCCAGAGAATTTCATATTTGTGGCTTTTATAGTTTTTGAGAAATTACCCCATTTATGTAAGATTGTCATATTTCATTTCTTCAAAAACTATGTACCTATTTGTGTAAATCACTTCGTAACTTTTGTGTCCTTGGTTCAATTGCTTTGAATTTTTGGTAAATCCTGCTCTAATGCCTTATAAAGGATGCCAGAAAATTTCATACTTGTGGCTTTTATAGTTTTTGAGAAAATACCCCATTTATGTAAGATTGTCATATTTCGTTTCTTCAAAAACTATGTATTTGTGTAAACCACTCTGTAACTTTTGTGTCCTTTATTCAATTGCTTTGAATTTCCTGCTCTAATACCTTATAAAGGATACCAGAAAATTTCATATTTGTGGCTTTCATAGTTTTTGAGAAATTACCCCATTTATGTAATAATGAGATATTGAGCTTCAAAGGTGACATTTTTTCCAAAACTTCAAACTTGATTTTCTCAAAAACCGTAAACACTAGCAATCTCAGCTGAATACCATTTTGAAGCCTTCATAAAGAGCCAGAATTCCTAGAAATTTTTTCCCAGTACCTTGCTTACTTACTGAGATATTGAGAAAAAGAACCTGTAAGTAATTTTTTCAATATTCTCTAGGACCTTGATAATGAGACGTTGCTCTATTTCTATAAGGCAAGAGGATTAATCTGGAAAAGCTGACAGCTGGAAAGATTTCAATTTTATCAAATTATCACGACATTCAAAAAATCTTCCATAATGAATAAAATATCCAATGGAGAATGGAATGGCGCCCATGTGGTAACTATACATAGAAAACCAAGGACCAGATATTTGGTTTAGCTGTTGGTTAACCATTAAACCAGATAACCGTCCACTGATAAACTGTTCCTAAATGTAATGTTTGCGAATATCAAGGATTTTACGTATATTTTCCATAAGATTTTAATTATTACATATTAGATGAAATCAAGAGCCAGGAATAGTTCAAATTTTATCCTTTATCCTAGTATTTTATCCTTGTGCTACTGGTTTCATAGGAAAGTTCAGCCTGACAATAAAATGGTATGAAAATCTTAAATGGACAGAAATTTTACCACGGGTTATGTTGGGACATATGTGATATGTATAGACAAAAATTTCAAAAGGTGTCAATTTTGTCATTAAAATTTCTTAGTTATGTAGTGGATTCTTATTGCTAGATCTCGAAATACTACACAAATCAGGAGCTTATTATCGTAGATTTTTGAACAATTTCTCTTCTCTTTGCAGCACAATTACTGATTCATTGCAGGGTCAACCAATTCAATGGACTCAGGCTGAGAAAGCTTTATACATAATAACAACTGTGCAGAGTTTGTTTATGGTTCAATCAATGAAAAAATCACACCTAAAAGTGCTTGAAATCATAGCAAGACAAGCAAAAAGTTCACAAATGTATTCTTAACTCGCACCAAGGATCTAGTTACGTACGAGATTAGTTTACATGGTTCCAACAAGCATGAAAAATGACGTAATTTCTCGCATCATCGTGTATAGCCGGCTTTAGAGTTGCATTACGAAATGTATAAGATAAATCCTGCTGGGTGCTACATAGTTTTTGGATTTTTCTCAATTCTGACTCCAGAAATCGATAGAGCGAGTCCAAATTAGTCAGAAACAACTCTAATATCAGTAACATTTGAGAATTGAAATAAGAAAAAAAATCCAAAAAGAAATCTCATTTTTGGCTCTAAACATTTTTTGAAATCATGACACACTCATGAATAATTGCCTCTCTCTTCCATGAATTTCGAGAAAATTGCTTACAATTATACATCATTGGAAAGAGTATTAAATTCTCTATAAAGCTGTGAAAAATTTAGTTTTGTAGCTTTTGAATTTCCTAAGATATCGAGGTTCAAAGTTTAAATTTAGTCTAGATTTTGTCCAAAACTTCAAACCTTATTTTTGCAAAAACCGTAAATGCTAGCGATATCAGCTAAATACCATCTGAAAGCCCTTATCAAAAGCTATAATCCCTGAAAATTTTGTTCCAGTACCGCTTTTGGTTACTGAGATATAGTGGCATGAAGATTTAGAAATTCAAATCCAAAGGGGGTAGCCTTAGAAAAAAGTACAAAAAATTGAAAAAATTTATTTTTGGATTTTTCTCAATTTTGACTTCAGTAATCGATAGAGCGACTTAGTCAGAAACAACTCTAACATCGGTTACATTTGACAATTTCGAAATCTTGATATGCTCATGAATAACTGCCCATATTGTCGTATCTAGGATAATAGGGCACCTCCCTTCGGTAAATTAAACTCACTCGTCTTCCAAAAAAGTTCATGGATTACAGGAAGACCAACGGTCACGTTACATGTAAATAACATTGCAAGTTGAACGAATTATTAAACTATTAATTTGTACGGACATGGAACTGAAATCCATAGAAGGTCAATGTCGACGCCAGGTCATCGGCAGTTATTGTAATTAGAAATCACGTACCATGGTGGCTTGACTAGCATAAAATAAGGTAGTTTTGGAAGACGAGTGAGTTTAATGAAATTTGAGAAAAAGAACCACAATTATACATCACTCGAAAGAGTATTAAATTCTCTACAAGACCGTTCAAAATTGGTTTTTGTAACTTGTGGAATTTCTAAGATATTGAAAGATTTTTATGGAATTAAAAAGTATCAATCAAATCAAACTCTTACCTGATTCGAACAAAGGCTAACCCAGAAATCCTTAGTCCCATTAGCTCCAAAACCTTCGTATCTCAACTGCGCCTTATACCCCACAATCCTCATCACAGTAGCCACCCAAAACGAATCAGGAAAAGCATCAGAAACGTTATCGCAATCTGTATTTTCCACTTCAACCTTCATCCCTACCATAATATTTTCCCATATATCAGCCATTGGAGCATGCTTGAAACAAGTCACAGGAGCAGCTACAAAATACCTGTCATTAACCAATTCGTCCCAGCTAAACGAGTTGACCAATTGCGAGGGTTTTCTTTTGACCAAAGGTATTGTATCGTCGATTTGTGGGAGCTTTTCTAGTTGAGGCAACCTCGGGTCAATGTAGCTATCGGAAAAATCCTCTTCGAATTTCATTGCAAATCTATATCTGGCGTAATGCTGTTTTGTGTCTGTGATGTCTTGGTTGGATTGAGGCAAAGGTTCTGGAATTAAACCGCTATAGCCTCTAGCACAGGCCATTGAACAAAAACGCCGTTCTCTAGTGTAAAATGCGTGCTTTACTCCAATTGCACCGCACTTTTCGCAAACTGCAATGCCATCTTTTTGTATTGGAATAACTGAAGGATCTGTATTGCCTTGATAGGCTATTGGAGTTTTTAAAACCAATCCAGGATGTTTTATTGGCTTGATTTTCCTTGTAGGTCCAGGCAAAGTTTGAGTAGACGCAGTAATCATATAAACAGGTTGCGAATTATCATCGTCCAAATACGAATCGTTACTTTCGTTTTTCATATCAATAAAGTGCATCATGTCATAGCTTTCTCCAGTATCCATTTGGGAGCTTTGCATGGTGCTATGCATGTCGTCTATTGATTGGCTGGACATGCTGTGACGTGAAGGGGTGTAGTACATGTTTTCGTGGTCCAAAAGCATTTCGCTAGCGTCAGGGGGGATCAGGCCAATAGGGGCTTCGCCTGTTACTTGTTGGGAACCCATCCAGACCATGCCCATTTCCGCCATGCCTGGCATCGAGTTGAAGACTGGAAAAGAAGGCGGGAGGTTAACAACGGAGTGTTTGCTTCGTTGTCAAAATTATACCAATCTGTCAATTTAATTAAGTCTACCATGAAAATCAAAATACAATCTATAACTTAACTACACAGTTTTGAAAGTCTTAGGGCAAGTTTTTTGTAAAAGAATCACATAAATATAAAGTAAATCACAACTTTACTGTTGTTTCTAGAATTGTCTAGATAATTTGCTGGACTAAATGAATTCCATTTGCTAATTTTCTAGTCATCTAGACAGTGTTGCAAAATTGTGCACAATTTGAGAGATGTATTACCTTCCTTACAGTTCTCCTTAGTCAGTATCTTCTCACCCAGAATATCCATTTTGTTATCGTTTTTGTCAAGGGGCAAACCACCTAGGAATTCTTTGCCAAAAATGAGGGAAATTTAGAGGAATTTGTGGGGATTTTGAAGGAACTCATCGGATTGTATGAGAATTTGGAGAATTTATAGGAAATTTGGAGGAATTTATGGGGAATTTGGGAGAATTTGTGAGGAATTTATGAAGAATTTAAAGGAAATTGTCAAATTTAAAAAATTCAAAAGAATAGTGAGTACCTACAGTTTTTGAAGGCTGAGGCTGATTTTCAAGATTTTTCATGTTGTTATTTTCCACTGAAAAAATTTGAAATTTTGGGAAAATGAGCTTCTCACCTTCCTCTCTACATGCAAAAAGTTTCAAAATTTTTCCGTAACTAGTTTTCCAGGAAAACTTTGAAATGTGTGAGACTGTATTTTCAGCTAATTCAGTTTTTGTGGGTTGATTTCCAAAATTTTTCATGTTGGTTTCCACTGGAAAAATTTAAAATTTTGGGAAAATGAACTTTGCACCTTCTTTTTTACATGCAAAAAGTTTCAAATTTGTCCCCTCACTAGTTTTCCAGGAAAACTTTGAAATGTGTGAAACTGTATTTTCAACGAATTCAGTTTTTGTAGGTTGATTTCCAAGATTCCTCATGTTGTTATTTTGCACTGGAACAATTTCAAATTTTGGGAAAATTGGTTTCTCACCTTTCTGTTTACATGCAAAAAGTTTCAAAATTTTCCCTGCACTAGTTTTCCAGGAAAACTTTGAAATGTGTGAGATTGTATTTTTAACTGATTCAGTTTTTGTAGGTTGATTTCCAAGATTTTTCATGTTACTGTTTTCCACTGGAAAAATTTAAAATTTTGGGAAAATGATCTACTCACCTTCCTCTTTACATACAAAAAATTTCAAATTTCTCCCTTCACTAGTTTTCTAGGAGAACTTTGAAATGTGTGAGACTATATTTTTAATTAATTCAGTTAGGGTAGGTTGATTTCCAATAATCCTTATGTTGTTATTTTTCACTGGAAAAATTTGAAATTCTGGGAAAATGAGCTTCTAACCTTTCTCTTTACATGCAAAAAGTTTCAAATTTGTCCCTTCACTAGTTTTCCAGGTAAACTTTGAAATGTGTGAGACTGTATTTTCAACTGATTCAGTTTTTGTAGGTTAATTTCCAATATTCCTCATGTTGTTATTTTCCACTGGAAAAATTTGAAATTTTGGGAAAATGAGCTTCTCATCTTCCTCTTTACATGCAAAAAGTCAAAATTTTCCCTTCTCTAGTTTTCCAGGAAAATTTTGAAATACGTGATACTGTATTTTCAACTAATTCAGTTTTTGTAGGTTGATTTCCAAGATTTTTCATGTTACGGTTTTTCACTGGAAAAATTTAAAATTTTGGGAAAATGATATTCTCACCTTCCTCTTTAGGTACATGCAAAAAGTTTCACTAGTTTTCTAGGAAAACTTTGAAATGTGTGAAACTATATTTTCAATTAATTCAGTTATTGTAGGTTGATTTCCAAGATTCCTCATGTTGTAATAATCTACTGAAAAAAATTGAAATTTTGGGAAAATGAGCTTCTCACCTTCCTGTTTACATGCAAGAAGTTTCAAAATTTTCCCTTCACTAGTTTTCTAGGAAAACTTTGAAATGTGTGAGACTATATTTTCAATTAATTCAGTTATTGTAGGTTGGTTTCCAATATTCCTCATGTTGTTATTTTTCACTGGAAAAATTTGAAATTTTGGGAAAATGAGCTTCTCACGTTTCTCTTTACATGAAAAAAGTTCCAAAATTCTACCTTCACTAGCTTTCTAGGAAAACTTTGAAATGTGTGAGACTGTATTTTCAACTAATTCAGTTTTTGTAGGTTGACTTTCAAGATTTTTCATGTAGCTGTTTTCTATTGGAAAAATTTGAAATTTTGGAAAATTGAGCGTCTCATTTTCCTCTTTACATGTAAAAAGTTTCAAAATTTTCCCTTCACTTGTTTTCCAAGAAAACTCTGAAATATGTGAGACTGTATTTTCAATTAATTCAGTTATTGTACCTAGGTTGATTTCCAATAGTCCTCACTAGAAAAATTTGAAACTTGGGGAAAATGAGCTTCTCACCTTCCTCTTTACATGCAAAAAGTTTCAAAATTTTCCCTTTACTAGTATTCTGGGAAAACTTTGAAATGTGTGAGACTGTATTTTCAACTAATTCAGTTTTTGTATATTGATTTAAAAAGATTTTTCATGTTGCTGTTTTCCACTGGAAAAATTTGAAATTTTGGGAAAATGAGCATCTTCTTTGTATGCAAAAAGTTTCAAAATTTTCCCTTTACTTACTAATTTTTTAGGAAAACTTTGAAATGTGTGAGACTGTATTTTCAATTAGTTCAGTTATTCTAGGTTGATTTCCAAGATTCCTCATGTTGTAATTTTCTACTTGAAAAATTTGAAATTCTGCGAAAATGAGCTTCTAACCTCCCTTTTTACATGCAAGAAGTTTCAAATTTCTCCCTTCATTAGTTTTCCAGGAAAACTTTGAAATATGTGATACTGTATTTTCAATTAATTGAGTTATTGTAGGTTGATTTCCAATATTCCTCATTTTCAGGGAATTTGTAAGAGACATTTGTGGGAAATTTGAGAGGAGTTTGGAGGAATTTGTGGGGTATTTAGAGAAGTTGGTGGTGGGACATTTGGAAGAATTTGTGATGGCGTATCTGGAGGAATTTGCAGGAATATTGAGGAATTATCCATACATTTTGAGGAATTGTTTGCATCAATTCTGGGATGGTGGTTTACCCTTTGGTATTTGTTATTGAATTTTCCAGCAATTTTTCGTCGATAGTACTTGAAAATGATCTCATGCTTAAATCAACTGATAAAGTGTCCCAGAACAGATTCAAATTGATGATCAAGTACATAAAAAAAACGACTCCACTCTTCTATTTCTGCTCTAGCAAGCAGTTGTGGAACTTGGACATGATCTTATCTACAAAACTTACGGAAAAACTGTTCTAGAACACTTTCGAATTGAAGATTCAGCACAAGAAAAGGAATATCCGCTTTCCTGTTTTTGATGTAAGATGCTGTTGTATTGTCATTGCTTTTAGAATTGTCCAGATAATCCGCTATACAGTTCAAATTGTGTGTTTCCTAGTTATCAGGCAGTGTTGCAAAACTGTGCACAATTTTCCCAACTCAAGGGATTTATAAAAATATGAACATTATCCAGATTGGAAAAAGGGCTAACAAATTGGATATATTTAATTTATTTCATGATAATACATACCTACATCTATAAGGATCGTCAATAATAAAAATAAAATAAAATAAATCAGAGATTGGTGGGCCAAGTCAGATATTTATTGTATAATATACTTACCTATTTATTAATTTAGGTATGTAGTCAAATTAAAACTCAAAGGTGCTTTATTATCACAAACATGAAAATACATAGAAATATATAATATTCAAGTAAGATGAAGACAAAGTCTCCATCTATAATATTCAAATACCTAACGAAATTGTATATTTAGTGCATACAATGTTAGTACTGAGGGGTCAACCACTCACAAAAAAATATACAGTGATTTCCAGTTTCTGGGAATATTTCTCAAATTTGGAGACAGTATTTACAAGTACCTATTCCTAGGTATTCCCAGAGTATTACCAAGTATTCCTAGGTATTCCCAAAGCATACCCATCAAAGTGTAAAGTGATTTCTATAAGTGATTTACCCCTTGGTTAGTACCTACTTACCTGATAAAACAACAATAATACCGGAATGTTAAGTACATAATAATTATAAAAAATAATATAAGAAAATATAAAACAACGAAATAATACTTACTAACCCTATTGAAGACAGGATAAACGCACGTTAATTCAATTTTCCAGGAGATTCTTCAATTCTGAAGACTATGAAGAAATAAAATGAGAAAATATAAAACAAAAAAATTCAAAACTTATTGAAAAGATAGGCGAGTTCTGGTACTGAGTACTATACTTATTTACCTTCAATACATAGAAAATGTAGGTAAGTACTCAGCTAAATTGAAAAAAGTACCTACTCACTTAAGTACTTGAGTAAATACCTACTTAAAAGGAAACCCAAACCTTGACAGCTAAGTAGTTGCTGATTATTTTTAACGAGATTTTTAAAGTAGACTCAATGACCAAAGTACATAATTCATTCTTCCTCTAGTTCAAAAGGATAATTTTTAGAGGAATTTTGGTATCTATTTCAAGTACCAAGTACTTATGTACTTAAACCTTTGAAAAATGTTGTACTTAAAGCTTAGTAAGTAGGTACCTTGGTAGGTACTTACCTACTTGATCTGACTTGTAAACTGTAAAGTTTCAGAGCGAAAGTACTTACTACTTTAAACTTAAAAATGGTAGTAGGTTTTTTACCTAACAAAATTTGTACACCGTATTATCACATATTACCATGTATTGCCAGGCTATTGACAGACTAAAATCAAATATTTGTCCTGCCAGAATTCTAGGTATTGACATATCCACAGGTATTTACATGTTATTAATGGGTATCAACCAATGACATTATATTATCTAGATAATTAAAAAGTAGGTATTGACACTATTGACATAGTATTTACTTGGTATTGAAATAGTGATTTTTACACCGATTAACAAGGTGAAAAACCCCTTGTACAATACTTATTTTTTTGGCACTTACTTAATACAAGTTTCATACATAAGTAAGTCCATTCTATCACTACTTACTACAGGGTGAATATTAATTGTAAATTACCACTTACCTTATCTGGAAGACTACATAATTATTGTGAGGTTATGCTTGGTGGTTGCACCTGGTATATTTTAATTTGATTTTTTGGGAATTTCAAACCAAAAACCGGTTACCAGTTTTAAGATAAACCAAATCAATAATATTTTCGAAGTAGAAATAACAAGGAAAACCCTTTATATTAAGGGCTTGAAATTCAACAGTCAAATTTAAAAGGGCTGTTAAATTTTCCAACCCTTTACAAAAAGGGTTCAAATTGAATGGATTTTTTTCAAAATGCATGCAATTTTAAGTGGGAAATAATAAAATATGAAATAAATATCAAATCAACTGAGCCCTCTTAGAGAAAGGGCCTATAGGAAAACGAACAAAAGGGCCTTATTACAAAACTCAAAAACCCACTTACCATTCATTGCGCTAATATACCAATACACTGAATTAACAATAACACTATACGGGGCTTACAAATTGAACATTTTCAGTGAAGAAAAACTAATTTTTCCGGGTAATAGAAGAAAATGCCATTGTTTATTACCAAAACCAAAAACAACCTTCAACAAAACCCGGTGACAGCTGTCAGAAAAATGCGGCCCATAAGAAGACAGCTGCATTAATTGATATGGCTTTCTTTTTTCAATTGTATAAGTTAGAAAGAGATAGCACATTATTGATAGTTTACAAAACTTTTGTGGCGCCATCTATGTAGTTTTATATGAAATAACTAATAGGGCCTTGTATAGGATTATTTGAATTTAAGTTTTTTTAGCGGGAATCTTATAAGTGTGTAAAGTGGGGCTTTACACACTTGTTACGTACTACTAACGTAATATGAAGCCATGAACTTAAAAACAATATAGATATCACAACTTTACGTGTTACTTTTAAAGTAACTTAAGTACTATATACCTACAACCTAGGGTGTAAAGTAAATACATTATGATACCTTTTTAATGCAAAAAAAGGGCTTTTATAATATCAAATTTCAAACTTAATTAGCGATTTATTACACACTAGGACGTACAGTAAATTACTTATTACGCACTTAAGTACCTACGTAAAATACATATAATTTTACGTCTTTTGAAGAGTGCGTAAAGTGTAAAGTACCTACATATAAGTAGGTAGCTACTTTACGCACGATAGTAGAATGATTTTTCTTTTTTTAATTTCGTCTGGATAAGGCCTGGATAATAGTCAAAAATCTAACGAGAAGAGAAATGGGAATAGAGATAAGAGTGATCAATTTATCTTCTTCTCTATTCCAGGCTGTTGCATGTTCTTTATTCTTTTTTGGAAAGAAATGAAGAAAACAGAAATTCAAGAGCCTGGAAATAGTCATATATGACACTAAAGCAAAGAGAAATGGAAATAGAGATGAGGAGAAATTTAAGGGAAATTGATCTATTCCAGTCTCTTGAATGTTCCTTAATTATTCTTTCTTAAGAAGAAATTTAGTAGAAATCATAAATTCAAGAGCCTGTACCTAATTAATAGTCACAAATTGACTCTAGAGAAAAGAGAAATATGGAAATAGAGAGGTGTAATTTGAGGAAAATTGTTCATTTTTCTTTTCTATTTCAGGCTTTTGAATGTTCTTTATTCTTTTTTGAAAAGAAAATTTAGAATAAAACAGTAGGTAATTCAAGAGCCTGGAATAATCACAAATTGACAATTATGTAGTTTCAAGATTCAAATTTTCAAGGCTTTTGATGCATTTTTCTACATCAATTTATTGAAAATTACTAAATCAAATTACCATTCCGCAAACAATTTTATTTGAAATAAAACACCGAGTCCATTCACTGAAATAATTGGCATCAAGGATGTAGATTTAATGTGGAACTAAGAAGGGGGTACAATATGATGGGTACCAGTACCGAGGAAAAATGTTATTTGGTACAGTTCCAGCATTGGGTGCCCATCAGTTGAAAATCTTGTTATTCATTGGGTAAGTACATACATCAATTCATTTACTTATTTTTGAATTATATTATTGTACAACTAACTCAAAAAATAGGTACCCAATTTCAAATTCAGCTTTAACTTTGTTCTTTATGTATTTTTTTTCGGATGACCTTTACATTGAATCACGAATTAAATTTGAAAGTTCTTATTACCGCACTAGTGAAAGATTGAAATAGGTAGGTACCGGCCTATAACTTTCCGATCTTGATCATTTTTGATTCTGCATTTTCTTGTTTCTGATTTCTTGATGATTATCTTAATAATAATACATTGAACAATATTCAGAATTAAAGAAGATTTTATCAAAATCTTATCACATTCCTCTGGGATATTTCTAATACCCACCTTAAGATTTTATCATTAAAAATCATGGTACCTACATCCTTGTAATATTTCATAAACTGAGCAAAATTTGGTATTAGTTGATCTTGATCATTAGAATTTGATCAAAACTTTCTCCTAAACATCTTTAGAATCCAGAACTCAAATAGGTAGGTACCTACCTAAAAAAATCCAAAAATCCTCCGCAGGAAAAAGTACAAATTGCAGTAGAGAGCAGTCATTTTAATTCAATTTCCATTATTCCTAATTAATTATAATGACAAAATTGGCACAGTCACGATCATAATCAAGAGCCGAGAATTATAAAAATATATCCTTGTAATTAAAGTGCAAATACAATTTACGCCAACATGAAGTGATTGCATATGCTAATTCCACAATTAAACCATTAGGCATCTCTGAATGATTTTGCAAAACCGAAGGTTACCAATAAAGATCGTACGATTTAAATTCCAGTCATGGTTAATCAAGAGTTTACAATCAAAGACATCCAAAAAGTCCTCAAGTGCACAAATGGCAAAATTACAAACATCAACATTAGCAGACTAACAGCCCCAGGTGAAAACTACCTTAGCTTAGTCTTCAAAGTGGATTTTGAGGTTTCAATAGACAATGGACTCAGTAAAACAATCAGTACTGTAGCTAAACGCATACCAAAACAAGCCAACCAAGATGGGCTTAGAATTACTAGCTTGGCAATGAAAAACGAAATCCGTTGGTACCTGGAAATGGTACCATCATTCAAACAAATTGCCAATGAATGTGGGATTTTATGCGACTATTTTCCTTTTTGTTTGGGCTCTAGATTCAGTTTAGATCCACTAAAAATCTGTCCAGACGAAGAAGCTGTTTTGTTGCTGGAGAATTTAATAGTTAAAGGTAATCATAATAATCTAGTAGTATAGTAATCCATGAAATAATTATTTTAGGCTTCAAAAACGAAGACAGATATGTAGGCTTCGACTTGACATCCAGCAAAGCCTTCCTCAAAACCATAGCCTCGTTCCACGCAATAACTTTAGCAGCAAAATTCAAAAACCCAAAAATCTTTCGCAAAATCAAACAATTCATGGATAGTTTACCAAATCCAGAACCTCCAGCGCTTGGTTGTTTCAATCCAGAACGTTTGGTTATGGATTTGATGCTGCAAATGCCAGCTTGTCAGCCTTATAGAGCTAAAATTGAGGCTCTAAGGGAGACGGCATTAGGGCCTCCTGTTTATAAAGAGGAAAAGGAGCCTTGGAATACTGTTATTCATGGGGATTTTTGGTTGAATAACGTTATGGTGAAGCAAAGAGACCAAAAGGAACCATTAACCAAGCTATTGGATTTCCAGTTTTTGGGCTATTCCTCTTACGCTATTGATGTGGTATTTTTTCTTTTAACCAGCGTCAAAAGTGAAGTACAAATTAACCATTTTGATGAACTTTTAAGGTACTACTATGACCAATTGACATCGATTTTGTCAAAACTCAATATTCCAGAGTTAAGGTTGACTTACCAAGAGTATTTGGATGAAGTGAAAAGGATGGCAATGAAAAGCGAGTGTAGGCACGCGTTTTTCTTTACCACGGTTGTTTATGGGCCTAAAGGTACCGGACCGGATCCGCTTTTGGGAGAAGTGGACATGTTTGAGAATTTGAAGAACATGATCAACAATATGGGGGAGTTGCAACGGGAGAAGTTGGGAATTATAGTTCAATTGGCTGCTACTAGAGGATGGATTTGAATAAAGTTTTATTTATTGAGTCTTGGTTTTTTTACTTTCATCGCATATCATCTATAAATTTCATCATACAGTCATTTTTTTGAGTTCAAATTGCTTCAACCAGGTAAAAAGATTCTCTAAAATCAACCCATAGATATAGGTGCATCCCTTTTGGATTAACCAACTCTTCATCTTCTTTCTCTATAATATGTCTAAAAATATCTTATAAATAGAGTGTATTTCTGCTCGATTTTTTCTCCCCAGTCATTATTTGTTTTCTTCTTCAAAGGTCCTGGTATATAATATAAAGTAGTAGATACCAATAAGCAAGTCTTTATAACGGTACTACTACTTGATGCGTATAGGCGCAACAGCTAAAACTTTCCTCATTGTATTTGTTATTACAAAATAGCGATAAACAATTACTTAATTGAAGATAAATGACGTTAAATTTAGTGATAACCTTTCTAGTAAAAGTATAGTGCGTTAAATATTTATGGCAAATTACATATGATGGTGGGAGAATCTAAATGAATAAATTTTTGTTTTGTTATCACTTTTACGGGTTCCAGTGTTGATTACAGTGTGTCAGGGTCAGGACTATATAGATTTTTAAATAGAATATCATAATGATTCGATCAGCTGTAAGTACCTATACTATTCAATATGCATTATTAATTACTTAATTTATCACTATTAATAGTGTTGAAAAAGTTACATACCTACTTGCTAAATGTATGTATGTAGGTATAGGTAATCAGATAAATTAAATTTTTATCTTTATTTGCTTATAAATGAAGGCTGCATTAATTTCAATTTAAAATTTCTCATTACAATTTGCATACATATTTCTTTATCTGGGATTAGTTGCTGATTATTTTATTTAGCTCTGGGGATGGTTCAAGTTAGAACCGAAACGTTGACACATACGTACTGCCTCAAATCATCCTTGTTTAACAAAAATCAAAAACTGATCAACCATAATATGCAGGGAAACTAAATATAATTTCTAATATTAGATGCAACTTTGACCTGCCACATTTGAATTTCAAATGGTATTAGAATTTTTGATTTTAATTTGAAATTAGTACCTAAATATGCTGGTGGTTGCCTCAAATCAATCTAGACTGGTTCAAACTCGAAGAATCGAGTAGGTAGTTTTAAGTCAAAATTGTCCTCAACTCATTAAATGAGTACTTTTGATGTGCCATACTAATTCAGAAAAATCGAATCAATCAAGAGCCGGTAATAATCACAATTTGAGCTCAGAGCTCTTGATTCTCCTGGGAAAGTGTTTGGGCGAATCAAGAGCCAGTTATAGTCAGAATCTGAGCTATTACCGGCTCTTGATTGACTGTAGAGAAATTATCCAACGAATCAAGAGCCGGTAATAATCACAATTTGAACTTTTAGGACTCCTAGTTTCCCTGAAAAAGTGTCTCGGCCAATCAAAAGCCAGTAATAATAAAAATTCGAACACTTATACCGGCTCTTGATTGTCTCTAGATAAATTATTCAACGATACAAATGCCGGAGATAATACTGACCATCCCTTTTAATCAAATCTAGCTATAGATTCCTGGAAGAACAACTTCAAGCTTCAATCTTGTACTGATCACCGAGATTTTGATCAAATCTCAGCTATAGATTACAACTTCAAGCTGATTTAGTCAGCTTTTGATCAAATTCAGCTATAGACTATTGTAAAACCAGCTTCAATCTCTTATAGACCTCGCCAGTCCTCAACCTCCTCAAACGCCAATACTCAAATGTAGCCCCCACAACCAAACTTTTCATCGACGGCCAGTTCGTGGACTCAAAAACCACCCAATGGGTGGACCTGCACGATCCTGCCACCAACAATCTAGTAACCAGAGTACCACAAAGTACCCAAACAGGTAAGAATGTTTTACTGTTACACAGCTATACATTTTTGATAATTTGTTAAACCTAGAAATGGAAGCAGCAGTTGAATCGAATCTAAAAGCCTACGAATCGTGGAAGAATACATCGGTATTAACAAGGCAGCAGCTGATGCTGAAGCTGCAAGCTGTTATTAGGAGGGACATGAAGAAAATCGCAGCTAATATTACTTTGGAACAAGGCAAAACTTTAGCTGATGCTGATGGTGATGTTATCAGAGGAATCCGTAAGTAAACTTTGTATCTTTTTATATATTCCAGGACCTTTGAATCTAATCATTTTTCAGAGGTTGTCGAGCACGCTTGTGCAGCTGGTACCCTCCTACAAGGCGAATCTCTCCAAACAATCTCAAAAGACATGGACATCACCTCATACAAAGTACCCATCGGAGTAACGGCGGGCATTTGCCCATTCAACTTCCCAGCCATGGTACCACTTTGGATGTTCCCTATGGCCTTAATAGCTGGCAACACGATGTTATTGAAACCTTCAGAACGCGATCCCGGTGCCACGATGCTACTTTGCGAACTCCTAAACGAAGTTGGGTGCCCTCCAGGCGTGGTCAACGTAATTCATGGTACTCACGATGCGGTTAACTTTATTTGCGATCATCCAGAGATTAAAGCTATTAGCTTTGTGGGTGGGGATAGGGCTGGGAAACATATTTATTCCAGAGGTGCTGCCAATGGCAAGAGGATTCAGTCGAATATGGGTGCCAAGAACCACGCGATTGTGCTGCCCGATGCTGATAAAAATGCTGCTTTGGATTCTTTGGTTGGTGCTGCTTTTGGTGCTGCCGGGCAAAGGTTAGTACCTGCGCAGTTTTACGCTCTATACAATGGTACCAATATATTTTACGTTTTTTTGAAAATAGTACCCTTTTGTATACATTATAACAATTAAGCTTTCATCTAGGTGTATGGCTCTCAGTGTCGTAATTCTAGTAGGAGAGGCACGAAAATGGATACCAGATTTGGTAGCTAAAGCCAAGCAATTGAAAGTAAATGCCGGACATGAACCTGGTACCGATGTTGGTCCAGTAATATCGCCACAAGCCAAAGAAAAAATTTTGCAACTCATTGAAGCTGGTATCAAACAGGTACTTACTTTGGTACTTATAGTTTAATATTTTTTTAACAAACTAATTTTTAGGGTGCAAAATGTCCTTTGGATGGCCGCAACGTCAAAGTCGAAAAATACCCAAACGGTAACTTTGTAGGCCCGACAATTCTCACTGAAGTACTGCCAAGTCATGATTGTTACACACAAGAAATCTTTGGGCCGGTACTATCAGTAATGACAGCGGACACGTTGGACGATGCCATTGCAATTATTAACAAAAACCCTTACGGTAATGGTACTGCTATTTTTACCACAAGCGGAAACCATGCAAGACAATTTGTACATGAAGTGGACGCAGGCCAAGTGGGTGTAAACGTACCAATTCCAGTACCACTACCGATGTTCAGTTTTACCGGATCCAGGGGCAGTTTTCGTGGGGATTTGCACTTTTACGGCAAACAAGGGTTGAACTTTTATACTGAAACCAAAACTATTACGTCGTTGTGGAGGAAAGGGGCTGTACCTGCTAGTTCTACGCCTTCAGTTGCTATGCCTGTACATAATTAAAGACTGTTTTTTTTTTTGATTGAATATTTAATTTTATTTTGATAATAAAATGGTTTTATTGGCTCAAAAAGTTCATGTTTGTATCCCCATTCAAATATACTTTCAGTTATAATAATTAAAAAATCTGATGTAAACGCACCCAAAGCTAACCAATGCAATTTCCATTTCATTGACTCAATTTACACTGCGTACTTTTGCCTTATAGACAAAGCACAATATTATGTATTGATTTAATTTATTCATAACAAGCTACACCCTGTACAAAAGCAAATATATAAAATCTTGATAAATAAACATAATAAATAAATAAATTAACTTAAGTTTCTAGCCAGTCATTGCAATAGGTACCATCATGGCCATAGTAGCCGGAATCATTCCAGCACCTGAAATAAACCCATATGAATACAAAAACCAAAATTCTCCGCAACAATTCTCACCTACAGCGGCCATAACAGCTTCAGGATCGCCATATTGAGGCGCCACTTCTTGTTTGCCAGTATTTTTAGTAGGTTTTCTCCTTTTTCTTTTGGTTTTTGTTTTAACTCTTTTGTCGAATTTTTGTTTGGCCTGCTCTACACTCTCAAATGTGGACTCTACTTGTAGAAGACCCCCGTGTGAGGTGGTCATGTTGACGTTGGAACCTTTGAGCGGTGGCAGTACCGTCAAACGAACTCCTCTATATACACAAAAATAATGCAATTACAACGGTTTTGGTACCATTTTTGCTTACCTTGATGCCCTAAGAATTTGCGAAGAAGGTTCGCTGGTACTGTCGATTTGTAACGATCTTTGTCGATTACGTTGTGGTTTGTAGCCTTTTGTGGTTGAAAGCAGCACCCATTCGCCTTCTCCATTGAATGGGTGGGTACCAGTTGGAATTTCCATTTCAGTTCCTTTTCTTCTAAATGAGTCGTATTGGTTGGATTGAGTTGGGAAATTCGATGGTTGGCCGTCAGTGATTATTTCGTTGTAAGGGTTACGGTCTTTTTCTTGAAAATGTGAAAATTACTTGGTAATAATAAAAATGGCCATTATACGAGTATGTTCGGATGCCGTTTGGACTAAAAAATGCCCCAGCTACTTTCCAGAGGGCAATGGATAACGTTTTGAAAGGAGAAAATTCCGGAATACTTAAGTTCACAACACTTTTCAAAAATTCTGTTTTTGGATACTAAAATGTAGGTATGTTTTCATAAAAAGTCCTAAAAGAGTTTTCGTTGGTCGTTTTCAAGAACATTAATAAAAACATGTATTTTAGATAAATCTGCACTGCAACTATGTAACGGATAGAGATCGTTATCTCTAGGTATCGCTATGGTACTTGGTGTCTTCTTCTCTCTTTCCGAAATCAATAGAGAAGGGACGTCAATAGAGATAAAGAAAATATTTCTATTCATTACATAGTCCCAGTGCTAGATGCTGGATGGCTTTTTTCGTTTTTGGAACAATCGTATTGGAACCTTGATTCTTGATTCAATTGGAAATGTGTTTAGGCCAATCAAAAGCCAGTAATAATCAAAATTTCAGCTATAAGCGGCTCATGATTGGCTCTGCAAAAATTATCCAACGAATCGAGAGCCTGTAATAATCAAAATATGAATTATTACCGACTCTTGATTACCTAAGGAAAATCTCCAACAATTCAAGAGCTGGTAATAATAACACGTTGAACTCGCAGGGTCGTTATTCTTGAAACAGGGGAGCAGCATTCCCAGGAGAACGAGCGTTCTGTAAGAGTGTTACGTCTTTGTTACTTGATTTATCATTTACGACATTTACATATCATTGGAGAAAGACGGAACACTTGTTATCCTAGGAACGCTGCTCTCCCTGTTTCAAGAATAAGGACCCTGAGCTCTTGATTCCCCTGGAAAAGAGTTTCAACCAATCACAAGCCAGTAATGATCAAAAATTGAACTATTACTGGCTAGAGAAATTTCCCAGCAATCAAGAGCTGATAACCATAATTTGAACTTTCACAGTTCTTGATTCTTCTAGAAAAGTGTTTCGGCCAATCACAAGTTAGTAATAATCAAAATTTGAACTATTACCAACTCTTGATTGGCTAGAGAAATTCCCCAGCAATTCAAGAGCCGGTAATAATCACAACTTGCAGACCTCTTGATTCTCTTAGAAAAGTGTTTCGGCCAATCACAGGCCAGTAATAATCAAAAATTGAACTATTACCGGATCTTGATTGTCTTATTTGATCAATACTTACGATTATGGTAATTGTTGTTGTAAGGTCTGCCAGTGCTACTAAAAGAATTCGAAGGAAAATGCGTCTCCACATGGATTTTATTCCCAAAATAAGCTGTCGGTCTTGGATAAACACTAGCTGACGTCGTAGGCCTAGGCCTTTCATGGAAACTATCGTATCTGTCCGAAAACTCAGTTGGCCTATGGTAAACGTACGGATTTGGAGGCGTTATAGATATTGGCCTGGAAAATTCAAGATTTAAACATTTGGATTAGGATTACTTTGGATTATTTGCCTGTGGAATTCCAACTCGTCGTCTTGGTAAGGTTTTGGACTGCTGATGGGCCCATTGACATCCCACGGTCGTTCGCTTGATGGTTTATATTTGCTTTGCCATTTGGATATTTTTGATACTGACCATGGGATTGGTTCTAGGCTAACCCAGCTGGAAAAAAGTTATTTTAATCGAATGGTTGCTGGTGCGTTCTTTAATCCAAAAGGGCATTTTGCTAAATACTTTATACTTGATACTAATACCTAAATATTTATTTACAAAACCTTACCCTTTCCTTTCATCAAAAGGATGTTTATCATTCCTTTGCACGTCCAACAAAGTCCACTGACTAATCGATTTGTCTTTTGAATTTTTCCTAACATTTTCCTGATTCAGTCGATCTAAATTTACATCTTCATTATCATCGAAGTGCTTTTTATTATTGTGCTTTTTCGTGTACGTATCCAAAAATTGTTTTAAATTCAACTTTTGCTGATTCTCATTATCAGTATTTCGATTGAAATCGGAATCAGACTGAAAACTCCTGCTGTGTGATCTAATAATTGAATTATTTAAAAATTTGTGGGTTGTTTTTTGCTATGCTAAAATTACCTGTTAGTTAATTTTGGTTGATCCACTTCTTCACTGTTTGCACTTGAACTTAAACTAAACACCAAAAGCACCACGAACCAGTTCATATTCGACGCGAAACTACTGCTTCATCGAGTTAATCGGAAATTGTCGCAGGTGAAGAAAGTAAAGAGACTGTCGGTGAAATGGATCTTCACGGTACGGAGGTTGTGATTTTAAATAAATGCTCTCTCCCTGCTTCTTATTGCTGGTTTTTTTCGTTTGGGTTTATTAGTCCGAGAGCTGATTATATGTACAAGAAAGTTGCAGTTTGAACAGTTTAAAGTGTCCATTGCAAATTTCAATCTCAATGTCTTTTAAACGGTGTACAATTAGAGTCAATTTGCTGAAATATCATTGAAGATTATATGGTAGGTAGTGCGTATTTGTCTTTTCTCGACAATAATTATGAGAGATTTTAAAATATCTTTAGATTCAAGCAGATTGTCTTTGGAATAATTGTTATTCTATCCAGTAAATACTTCTGTGACATTTACGTAAATTCTATAGTTTTGAGATTATTTTGTAACATTCTTTCGTAGTTGTTATATGAAACTGAATAGAAATGAGACTATAAATTAAATTATGTGAGGTTTACGTAAATTGAAGTAATATTTATGTAACATTAATGCAATAATAATTATTATTGTCGTTTATATTATATAACATTTAGGTAGGTTTTTAATATCATGTTAACGTGACTCTAATAATATTTATGTAAAATTTACTAAACCGAGAAATCAGCCATCGGCACCAAATTTTGTCTAATTGTAGAACCCGATTGGGACTTCAAAAAAGCTTATTTGGGGCATCTGGCCCTAGGGCTTCGTTTTCGAGATAATCGGCTTAGAAGGTTTTCTAAAATTTGAGACAAAGTTTCAACTTTGAGACTCGATATCTCGGAAACTATTTGAGATAAATGATTCAATTTTGTTTTATCTTGAAGAGCATCTAATTCTGATTAGGAATATATAAATATGTTTTGGAATTTGTAAAATATTAGTGGAGTTATGGGCGATTTTGTGAGGCAATGTCAGATAATCCAAAATTTTCAGGCCAAAAAATGCAAAAATCATTTTTAATTTTCTACAGGCTCCAAAACCTCAAAAAGGAATATTACAAAAATGCTTTTCCACTAAATTTGATCCTCTCTCTCGATTGGTAAAGTCAAAAATAGGAAAATCTCGAAAAATCAAAATTGAAATTTTTCCAAGGGTTATGCAAGGAAATCTTATTTTCAAATAATTCAATGGGTCCTATTTTGGAAACCAGAAATGCTACTGGCAGGAAATTTTGTCTTATTGTAGATCTCGATTGGGGCTTCAAAAAAGGTTATTTGGGGTATCGAGCCCTAGGGTTCCGTTTTCGAGATAATCGGGTTTGAAGGTTTTTCAAAATTTGAGACAAAGTTTCCACTTTGAGGTCCAATATCTCGGAAACTATTTGAGATAAATGGTTCAATTTTATTTTATCTCGAAGAGCATCTAATTCTGATTAAGAATTTATAAATATGTTTTAGAATTTGTAGAATATTAGTGGAGTTATGGGCGATTTTGTGAGGCAAAAATCATTTTTAATTTTCTACAGGCTCTAGAACCCCAAAAAGAAATATCACGAAAATGCTTTTCCACTAAATTTGATCCCCTCTCTCGATTGGTAAAGTCAAAAATTGGAAAATCTCGAAAAATCAAAACTGAAATTTTCCCAAGGGGTATGCAAGGAAATTCCATTTTCAAATAATTCAAAGGGCCCTATTTTGAAAATAAGGAAAGTATTCGGCTTAAAAATTTGTCAACTAGTAGATCTTGATTGGGGCTTCAAAAAAAGTTATTTGGGGTATCGAGCCCTAGGGCTCCGTTTTCGAGATAATGGGCCTTGAAGGTTTTCTAAAATTTGAGACAAAGTTTCAACTTTGAGGCTCAATATCTCGGAAACTATTTGAGATAATTGATTCAATTTTATTATAT